CAGCAGCTTGATGCAAGAAAAAGGAGGGGTATAATCTGGGAAAAGGGGTACATGTGGAAAATGGACCATTTCCTTTTGCTCCCATAGTCCTTGCAGAGCAACACCCTTCAATTCATAAAACTGGCCACCACACAAGACGTGCATCTGACAAGTCACCCCACTGGCAAACTCCTCAGAGCTGACAAAATACAACTGGAGAGATCTCTGAGTGGGATGATGGGTAACAGCACCTGGCCAACCTTCTTCAATGTTTGTTTTTAACAGAACTTCTCCTGAAATATAAATTTAGGAAAAAAGAAATCCCTTGAAAAATACTAGATAGTTGTTCCACACAAATAACCACAGCATCTACCCCAAGATTTCAACTGGGCTGAACTTTTAACTAAGGTTTGTTCAAAATATAACATTTTTTTCAGTTGACAGAAACACCATGGGGGAATGTTGCAAGGACAGAAGCAAGCTGTCGCTGTGACCACTGCTGCTCTCTGCCCCCAGTTTCCCCACAGGGATGGTTTTGGCACCCATCCTGTCTGGCTCCAAATGGGCTGTTCTTAGAAAGAGACACAACCCATTGGAGCAATTTCTTCTGTGTCCCACCCAGATGAGCCGGTGGCTGGTGGCTGGTGGCTGATGTTAGTGATGCACTAGACCCTCCAAACATTTTGAAAAACATGTCTGACGAATGGGTGAGTTACAGATATGCACTAAATACCTGTTCTTCTGCGTTTGCAGTTTCCAGCACCAGGAAATATTAGTTCTGTTATTTTTCCACTGCCTGTTTTTGCACACAGTCAACAGGACTAGCCTTCTAATGCAGCATCACATCATACTACATCACATCACATCACATCACATCACATCACATCACGTGGTAAATGTTACATCAATTTACATGGCATTACATGGCACAGCCTGGCCCCTGTGCTCCCAGGGCCTATCACACCACTGTGCTTGGGGATTTGGTGCATTTCCATTCACCATGCTTGTAGGGATGTGCCAGTGGCCCATGGAGGTGAGTTTTACTGGGTTAGCTGACATAGTGCCGGCCTGCAAATGAACTATGAGGCAAAACTCAGCTATTTCAGGGCAGTAGCAATTAAAGGGAAGAGGTCTATGCCTGTGGCTTCTGGCAGATGTGCTGATGTGTTCCTGAGTCCAAAGTGCTGGCAGGCTCTGTGGCTGGGCTGGAGCAGGGTGGCCCTGGTGCTGCACAGGCTTCACTGGCTGCCACCAGGCTGGGGTGCCAGGGTGAACCCTGGGGTCTGCCAGGCACCAGCCCCCTCAGCTGTGCTTCACACCTCCAGAGATAGCTTGGGAGCAGCTCGAAAATACAGTATGCTAGCAAAACACATAACTTCTGGAAATAAATGGTATAAATACAAATTCTTGGCTAAACTCTGAGTTTCAGGCAAAGTAAACTCAACTCCAGCACCCAAACACCCATCAGTGCTTCTGGCTTACTTCAGTCCTTGAGCAAATTACTTCACCCCTATTTTTCATGTAACTGCAGATCTGATATGTACATAGAGCCAGATGACAACAAGCCAGCTTCATCTGCCTTCTTTCAACTTCATACTTGGAACTAAAGTTCACACAATATTTTCAGAGACACCCATCCCCCCAATCCCCCCTCAAAAAAAAAAAAAAAAAAAGGCAAAAAAAAAAAAAAAAGCATGAGGAAGGCAAAGGGAGGATAAAAGACAAACACAAAATGCAGTTCACTTAAAAATATCTCTGCTTGATGGAGGCTAAAAGGTGGCAGCTGTGCCAAAGTAGTGGACCCTAAATCGCTGAGCAAAAAAGAGCAGGGAAGACTCTGATTGCTCCCGGTACTGTGGTGAATGTGTGCTCTCAGCCACAAATCAAGCAAGCTTAAAAAAAAAAAAAAAAAACAACCCGGAAAAAAAAGACTCAATCAAGGCAATAATGGCCTCCACTTCACAATCAGACAAGTGCTTCTACTTCAGAAATCCTACCATTTATGGCTGATTGCTAACCCTAGCCTCATTTCTAATCTAAAGGGTGAGTAATAATTTGGAAAAGGAATTATAACAACTTCCCAACCATTTGGTAAATCGTCATTACTTTAAAGGGGTGTTGGGGAGCTGTTGCTGTTTGTCAGATATTTTTTTCCTGCTACTGCTCTTCTACTTCCACCACCCCTTTTCTCCTTGATCTCATACTGGAAGGGAAGTAATGTACAGTGGAAATATGTAAGAAAGAAGAGACTGGAGGGACCCTCTGACCGTGGGACTCTGACCTGTAGAAGTTGCCATGAGGCACAGAAAGGTGAAATGGCTCTTCCCTTTGTAGGGTGCCCAGAGATTCATGCAGGGATCAGCTCCTGCATTAACTCCCTAGAGTGGGAAACCTTCTGCATTAGGAACCTCCCAAAGGAAAGGATAAGGACCACCCATGCAGGTGGATGGGTGATGCTGGGTGCTGGTGCAGCAAGAGCCTGCTGCCCACCTGACCCCCCAGTGGAGACACCCTGGCATTTGGGCTCCCCTGGTCGGGAGCAGCCAGCTGGATGGAGCTGGTGCTTTGCTGTCCCAATCCTGCCTGGACTGTCTGGAGTAGGCAGAGAGACATTAACATTTGACCCATAGGTCATCCTGATGGGAAGTACCAAGTCTGGAATCCTGAGTTGCATTTATCGCATTTATTTCCTGGTTCAAGCAGGGAGAACTGCATCTGTAAATATTTTAGTAATTATGTGAATATTTTTTTCCATCTTCTGCAAGTCTACTGTGATTTTCACATGCACATCAGAGTTCATCTTAGAGGTTATTCCAACCAAAGCAATTCTGTGATTCTAGGGTCTTCTAGGGAGAAAATATCAAAACAGAGGACTTGGACAATGTTCTTCTGGCCATCACCTGTGAGTGCCACAGCTGTCCTGGACAGAACAAAGGACTTTGCCCACTGCTGCTGCTCTCAATGACAGAGTGTTTAAAAACAGATAAAACTTGATGCAGAAAAAAAGAATCAGGAGGGACCTGTGCTGGGGGAGACTTGCGCACAGCTTCACCTGGGTTATTTATTCTAATCCTGTGGTAATCATGATGGTGTTTTGATAATAGCAGACCTTTGTGATCAAAATACCTCTTATTTCAATGATTCAAGGACAAAATGGATGCTATTGTCTCCCTGGATGAATGTGAGATGTTTTATGAAAGGTACGATCAGTGTGTTCAGAGAATGACAAAATTTTCTTTCCTCTCTTGGGAGGTAACTGCAGCACCGGCTGTGCAGCACTGAGTCCCTTACTCCTGGGTTGTGCTGTGAAGGGATCTGTGTCACAGTTATTTATGTCTGTATTTTAAATATGATTTGAAAAGAGACTGATTCAAAAATTTTCAATGACCCAGTGAAATCTGAACTACTTATAGCAAGACAAGAAGTATAATGCTTCAATCAAAATAGCAACTTGAAATGTGTTTTATTAAACAGAGTTCATTTAATACTACCCCAGAGTGCTATGGATGTGAAAACACATTCTTGAATTGGAACTGTCATATCTGGGTAATAGGAATGAAGGAAAAATGGTAATTTTTAATATTGTACATTTTGGGATAAATTCTGGTCTCATATAGAACTACCCACAGCATTCCTGCGTATTTTCCAAAACTGGTGTGTCCCTGGATCCTGTATGTCACTATGAGGTAAAAATGTTACAGCAAAAACAATACACCCTGCACAGAGCTCTAAGTAAAATCCTGGCAGATTTAGCTTTCCCATCATTCTCTCTGCAGTATTTTCAAGGCGTTTCAAGTGAGAGAAAACAAAACAAGTCTCAGGCTAAGTGCAATTGAAGAAAACTCTGAAATAAGGCATCAAGAGATGCAAAATAACAGAAAAAAAAAGTGGATTCTATGTATAAACTCTGTGTGCTTTTCCCTTGTAAATATTCCTTGATTTTTGCTAGCCATATTATGCAAAAATATTTAAATTAGCAGTTTATAAAAGAGCAGTGCTGCCCGTGTAACATGGATGCCGAATCTATCGGGGACGAGCAGTTGGGAGGTGATGGGACCATTTATATCTCCATTAGTGGATATTTGCAGATCATCCCAAGGAAAACAGGTTTTTCCTTGTCAGCTGTTCGGTATTTCGGGAGTTTAAATGGCTTCTGCTACCAGCCGGAGCGTGAGCGCGGAGAGGCACAAGGGCTAATTTCTCCCGGACGCCGGGCGAGCTCACCGGCCCCGGGCTCCCCGGCGCGGGAGCGGGACCGGCGGCTGCGGGGGCTCAGCGCTCGTTCGGTGCCCGCGCTGGGCCCGGACCCGGCGCCGGCTCCCGATCCCCCCGGTCCCGCCGCCGCCGCCAGGCACCCACCGGGACATGAAGGCAAGGAGGAACTGGCGGACCAGGGCAGGCGCGGAGAGCTACGCTCCCTGTGCAGCGTTAAAATACGATTAAAAAGAACTTACTAGGTCCTTATTTAGAGAAACGACAAATCCTGTTCTGTTCACACGGAGGAACTCCAGTGCCTGTATGAATGAATTCTCACCCGCCGTTAGTGCTGCTCCTGCCGGCACCTTCCACCTCCGCCCGAATCCCCGAGACAGAGGGAGGGTGCCAGCTGAGCCCCGAGGGGACGAGCCCAGCATCGGGTTCTGCCCGCGCAGCATCGCGCTCACCGCCCGGTCCGGGCTGGGGCAGAGCCGGGGGATGCGGAGTGGAGCAGAGCCGGGCGGTGCGGGATGGGGCAGAGCCGGGGGATGCGGGATGGGGCAGGGCCGGGGGATGCGGGATGGAGCAGAGCCGGGCGGTGCGGGATGGGGCAGAGCCGGGGGATGCGGGATGGGGCAGAGCCGGGCGGTTGGGAATGAGGCAGAGCCGGGCGGTGCGGGATGGGGCAGAGCGGGTGTCCTCTGCCAGCTAGGCCAAGCACCCAACAATCAGAGCTGTCAGAACTACCCCACAAAAATCACGATTACAACTCTAAAACCTGATTTTGAGAAAAATATTTCTCTTTTCTCAGGATCCTGCAGAAAATGAAAACAAGCTTTTCCCCTCAAGTACAAAATTGACCAAAATAGTGTATCTGCTCAGGTACCATAAATAAACTGCATCCAGAAAGTGGAACAAGATCTTTCATGTAATCTCTACAAGGAATTTGGGTGTCATTCTCTGATTTAAGAAAAAAAAAAAAAAGCTGAGAATTCTCTGACCTTTATCCCAGGTAGCTGCCTGCTGTCACACCACTGCCAGCACAGCATATTTGACAGCAATTCTTACCAGCTTCATTTTCTCCTGGTGTGAAGAAATGAAGTTAGCAGCTCAGGAAATGTAGGTATTTATATAATTTTTAAAGACACAAATTTTTTAAAGACACACCTTTTTGAAAGTTCTATCACAAAACACCAAGCATATTCCCCTGAAGTACTTTCAACAATGGGTAGATCAGAAGTAAAACATTTCCCATAATATCCAACTATGTAAAATCAAATTCACAAGATATTACAAAGTAATTGTGTATTTTCAGTAACCAAAACTACTGAAGAGCTGCTAAGCCTCCAGTGCATGATACATTTAATATGATAAATTAAAAAAAAACTTGAGACTGATTAAATTGAGACTTGGTTAAATTCAAGTGAAGCCCTGCAGGAGTGGAAGCTGAGAGATGCAAAGCCACCCTGGTCTGGAGACATTTAACCCATGTGAAAACACTGATTTCACTGCGTTCTGCAGCTGTTACTGCCATGCTCTTGTAAACCATTTTAAGTATCTGAATTTCAGAGGAAGTTGTTTCAAGCGAACACTTGTGCTCTGACATCTGTGATTTACATGCACAGAATTACCCCAGCGACTGGGTCAAGTGACTTTGTGCCCAAGTGCATGGATGTGCTGGGGAGCACAACCGGCTCGGAAGCTGCGGCACAGCCACAGGGAATGCTGCGGCGCTGATTTGAGTAGTTTCCTGGTGTGGATGTGAAATGCTATGGGGTGAGAAATGACAATCAGCTCCTGGAATGAAGGAACCCATTTGCCTCCCCTGAAATAACTGAGTGCACAGGGCGTGAAATTGTAATTTTAAGAAATTTAACACAGTGAGAGCAAGTATAAAAATACGTTTTAGATTAATTAAGTGGCTAAGCACACTTACAAATTATGAAGATTTGATAGTTTTAGGAGTCCTGTTGCTTGTGGGTGAATTTTCCTGCAGCCACAACCCCCAGAATCCCCCTTTCAAGGGTGCTGCCTCCAGCTGCCTCTGGATGCTCTTCCCAGTTGCTGCCTGTGCCCTGCACACTGACAGCCCAGCACAATCGCATACAGCAGCTGGAAATAAAACACAGCCTGATAAAATTAACCTCAAAATGAGCTGGTAGAACTTGGGTGAGCACGGGACAAGGTCTAAGGGCAGTGGTGCATGAAGGAAAGTGTTGCTGGTCCCAGAACAGTGTCAGGGTGGTGAAACCTCCTCAGTATCACCCTCTGCAACCTTGGATGGTGTACCAAAAAAAAAAAAAAACCAGAAAAAAGTTGCAAAAATTGTTCTACATACTGAAGTAACGTTTCCCTGATCCTTCTCTGTTTATTTTCTTGTTGTAGGGTCTTGTTTAGTTTTAGTACGAGATCCCCAACATTCTTCAATCATTGGCGACGATGGAAATAAATGCACTTAGGGTAACATTTTTGTGTCAAGATGCCAGAAAGTCTTCCTGAATTTTTTATCATTTTTCAGAGGAATGCGGTAATAGTTTCTGACAAACTGTATTTCTCAGAATGTAAATACTGTAGTGCTGTTACACAGGGTGAGGGTTTGGGCTGTTACAGGGCCTGTGGGCACTGCTTGTGCTTGGTGCTGGTGTTGTCAGTCCCTTGAGCCGTGTCCAAAGGACCAGTGCCAGACATTTTAAGAAATGTCACATGCAGAGGAGGGTTCAGACTATTCTGAACAAACTCCCTGAAATCCACAAGCAACAACTACCTCCTCAGTGTGCAAGGCATGCCCCCCAGGTGGTGAAGAGGGATCTGCAGGAATAGTGGGACTCCCAGCAGTGGGAATGGCAACAGGGGTTCCCAGGGCTTTGCAAAGGCAGCAGGCTGGGGAGGACCCTCTGCATGGAGGCAGATGTTGCTTTTTGTTGATGGAAGCCCTGGGGTTTGAGCTCAGCCCAGACAGGCAGCTGACCCTCAGAGAGGAGAGGAAGGTCTGTGGAAAATGGTGACTGCAAAGGTCTGACACAAGCCCGCATCCCAACAATGCTGCAGTAACACCTGTGGCAGAAGCCACATCCCCACACCTGAGGAGCTGCTGTTTTTTGCCCCACTGTGGGCTGCTCCCACCACCTGCCTGCTGCCCCATGGGCTGTGGGACTCCAGTTTTGTTCACACAGCTCCTGGCCAGCAGCTCAGCACTGTTAGAAACTATGCCCCTGGGTTGAGTCATACTTTAACCAGTCCGTCCAAACGCACATGAGGTCTCAGACCGGTGCACACAGCGCTGCTTTGGAAGGTTTCTGTGGAATTTCCACCACATGTACTGGCTGTCTCACAAGTGGATGGTCTTCAGTCTTCATTGCCTGTCTTCCCCTTCCTGAAGGAGAAAACTGCAGAGCTGGCTGGCTCTGCAAAACCCAACAAGTTGGAAGTGAAGTGCTGCCACAGAGAACACAGTGAAAATCTGCAGCAAACCAGTTGTTTCTGGGACAACTGATGGAGTACCACTTTGTGAATTCAACAGTACACTTTAAAAACTCACAAAACATTCTACGGCTTTTGTTCTCTGTGTCCTGTAGCTACACCTGCTCACTATTCTGTTAATTACCTTTTTTCTGGTCAATGTCCATGAGAGTATTACTACTTGGAGCACAGGAGTATATAAATATCTTAAAAAGAGCATTAAAATAACTTTTTCAGTTCACCATTTGCTTTCAAATGTCTTAGTCTATATCATGATTTCAGCAAACAGACCAAGGCTGCTTTCAGTATCATCCTGGGGCTCCAGCTCTCTGCTGGGATCAGCCTGCTCCCGAGCAGTCCGTCTCTTTCTTCTGTGCACATACACAGAGTGGCTCTTCTCTGGCCCCTTGGGAAACAAGGTTTCTGCAGGGACAGCAGCTTCCAGAGCCAGCTCCAAGCCTTTGTGGAATCTAGACAGAAACAAGTCTGTAGTTACTGTTTTTATAGATTTGCTCAGGATCTGCAAATTACTCTGAGAAACTAATGCTTTTAGAATGTAATCAAAACATGCAAGGGGAGAAAAGTGGTTACTAACATTTTACTTAATACTGAAGAAAAATTAGATGTCATGAACAGAACTGGTGTATTTTTACAAACCTGTCAATCCTCCTTATGTTCTCTTCCATTTTCTGATTGGCTACATGTACCAGAAATTCAATATATTCTTCAGAGACCATCAATCTCCCTTTGTGGCTCAATGGAACTTCTAAGCAGTGAGTGCTCCGCACAGCCTGAAAACACACACATGATTTACCTGGAATAAAGTTTTTTAGTTTACGAAGGTTATTTAAATAATGTAGGGAGTTCATTATAGTAAAAAACCTGCTTAACCATATGATTATTTAGGTTGCTGTCACCTAAAGCAGCAAGCTATTTCTTTGCTATAGCATGCCCTGTGACAGCTCTTAAGCACCAGTCAGGTCTTGGCTGGTACAAAAATAAAGGTTAACGTAACAATATGACTTCATTACATCCCTTACAGTGCCAGAGTCCTTACCATTGTAATTTTTCCTCCTCTGCCAACTGTAATACCAGAGTTCCTGAATCCAGAGTCAATAGCCACCGAATGCTGCAGAAAAAATAAATGCTTAAGCAGGTCTTGTACACCTTCACAGCAAAAAATATTTATGGACGTGTTGCAATGCAGCGTACAATCTCAATTTTGCAAAAAACGTATTCAAATAATCTACCCAGACTTATTCAAAAATAGTTACATTAAAATACTTTTTAAGATCAAACCCACAAATGGAGGGTGTTTTTCAGAGGCCCACGGTGGATCCTGACTGAATCCATCAATGCACAAGGCATGTTACGTCTCTCTAGGCACTGAACTATTTTATCCCAATGAGCTGGAACTTCACAGACAGTTGTGCCACCCTTTGACAACGACAGTGCAGCTGCACTCTACACGAGCCCCTCAGCCCTTCTGCACTAACGCCAAAACCAGCCCAGCATGGCACACATTGCTCTCCGCAGTCATACTGCAAAAGCAGAAGGCAAAGGCATCATTCAATGCACTGAAAATGGAGCCAAATGGCCTGGCTGGTAGCAAAGCACCATCTAAAATCCAGCCCTTTCAGGCAGGGAGAGCAGCCCAGGTCCCTCAGGTAGTGCTTCATGCAGCAGTCTGCTTCGGCTCGAAGGCTGAATTGCAGGTGAGTCTTTTTTCTTTCTCAGTACGGTAAAACTCTCACCAAGTTTAAAGCTGTGTTTTTTCTTCAGCTTACTTTACTACCCTGATTATTAAACACACAGCGCACCTGGGACTGTTTCTAAGTGCAACTGCTTACCGAGGAGCCAATACTTTTATTTTTGCAGGCAAGAATGTAACAGAACAATGCCACATTGTACTTGACGTGGCTTTACCAGCAGCTGTGCATCCTGCAGCTCCCGACACAGCACGTGAAGAACAAACGGTTCAAACTTGAACACAACATCACCAGTGGCTTTCTTGAGTGCCGTCATCTGGAAAATACACCAAAATATTTATATAAAAGTCAGAGCACTTCCTCTCGTAAGAGTTAACAACACCCTACTGCATCCTCCATGGCCTGAAATTTTATCAAGTTTTGCTTTGCTGGAACGAATACTAACGAAAACAAATATTCTGGAGGACACTTCTGTGCATGTGTGAGAATGTATATGTATGGTAAAGTGAACTATGAATTGAGTGAGAAAATGCTGATCTTGCAACTGCCTCTTTTGTGGGACAAAGCAATTTATGCAACGAGTAGATTATTTTGAAAGCATACTAAAAATGAAAAACCTCCTACTATAAATGTTTTTAATTTTGGGGTATTTAATGATACTAAATTAACAATGCAGTATAAGAGATTTCCTGTTACACCACTTTCAGGTGTCTGTCTGCTAGCCCAGCAAGCTGGGCTCAAGAGATTTTTTAATTCAAGTGTTTTAAATATGACTCCTGACAGCAAGGAATTATATAAGTTTCTGGAATATTAGCTGCCTTTGTAACTATGCAGAGAATTTGACACTGAATTTAAAAGCATTCTCTTTAAATGGGTCTGAAGAATTTACTAAGCAACACATCCAAGGAAAATTTAATTTTGAGAGTAGGGTATCAATTAATCGCAGTAGCAGAAATAAAAGCCCTTTGACATGACGTGTTTTCCATGACACCAGGAGCATTTCCATGAATAAATACAAAGGCTGTATCTCACTGTGCCCGTACCAGATCGCCTTTGGCACATGGGTCATGCGTTACCAGGAGCCACGTGCAGTTCTTCTTCTGGATCCCCGTGCCATCTGTGTCCTAGTGATGGACAGAAACCATTAAAATGGCTTGGCAGCTCGGTGAGGTTTAATCTCGTGCTGCTACAAAAACGGTCCTTGGAAATAAAGAAGCATCCCCTCAAAGCAAGAGCCCATTCACACTGCGACCAGACCCACCGCCACGATCACCCTGCCTGTCCCATCCCTCACCCACCGTCACGATCACCCTGCCGTCGCACGAGCTCGTGGTGCAGAAGCGCTCGCGCGCGTTCAGGAGCCGCACGAGCTCCGCGGCCCGCGCGTCCAGCGCGCGCTTCCGGCTGGGGTCGGACTGCGCGAGCCGCTGCGCCTTGCGCCGCGCGAACGCCGCCATCGCGGGGGGACGGCGTCCCACGCCGGACAAACCTCGGCGCGCGGCCGAGCCGGGGCGGGACCGGCAGTGGAACGGCCCCGCCCCCGTCCGCGCTCCGCCGCGGGGCAGCGGCGCTCCGCAGGTAGGCGGTGGGCACGGGGGCTCCCGGGCGCTCCGCCAGCGGGACGGGCCGGGAAGGCAGCGGCTCTGCACCACCCGTGCGAGGCTCCACAGCCACGGCGGCACGGCCGGGCTACACGGGGGCAACGGCTACACGGGGGCGGCTCGAAGGGGCGGGGCCTGACCGCAAGGAGCGCTTCCGGGGCACGGCGTGATCGCGAGGCGGTGGAAAGGGCGGGGCCTGCCGGCGGAGGAGTGTTTGTGGGCGGGGTCTGACGACAGAGGCGTGTTTGTGGGCGGGGCCTGACTGCACAGGTGTGTTTGTGGGCGGGGCCTGACTGCACAGGTGTGTTTGTGGCGGGGCCTGGCGGCGCAGGTGTGTTTGTGGGCGGGGCCTGACCACACAGGTGTGTTTGTGGGCGGGGCCTGACTGCACAGGTGTGTTTGTGGCGGGGCCTGGCGGTGAGAGCGGGTCACGGGGCGCTCCGGCCGGGCCCGGCCCTGCGCCCCCTCGGCCGGCGGTGCCCCGCAGCCCGGGCCGCGCTTCCCGCCCTCCCCGCGCAGCATCCCGCAGCATCCCGGAAGGTGCTCCCAGCGGGGAGGCCCGGGGCTGCTCGGGGCCCTGCCCGCCTCTGCCCCGGTCCCTTATCGCAGGATCGATCCGCACTTCGGCCCCGCGCTGTGTGCCGTGTCCAGGCCGTGTCCGCAGGCCATCGCCGCCACCTGAACAGCCGCCAGGGCTCTCACTGTTTCTTTTAGCAGATCCTCTGGCCGCCATGGCAACCACCAGGAGTGCGATGAGAGCGGTCCGAGTGTTTGAATTTGGTGGCCCTGAAGTGCTTAAACTGCAGTCAGATGTGTTAGTTCCTGTTCCAAAAGAAAACCAGGTATATGTGAGCTCTGTGAAGGAAAATAGTGGTAATGAATGTTAACAAGTGCCTGCAGGACAGAATGAGAGACACGGCCCAGAACCCGACACCTGGAGTACGTGAGTTTTGTCAGTGTGTGCACACTGCTTGAGATACCATGCTTAACAAAAGTGGGCTCTTTACTCTGCGGTGGGCTATATATTCCACGTCCAGATATCCCTGAAATTAGCTTCGCTTTGACGCTGGGTTGTTACAGAGGCTGTTTGAGAATTCAGTACAACTGCTACAACACCATGCTGTGAATTGAAGAACTAAATCTTTTTAGTTATTGCTTAAGAAGTGTCTTTTCTTTTAGGTATTAATTAAAGTCCATGCCTGTGGGGTAAATCCTGTTGATACATATATTCGTTCTGGGACTTATGCCAGGAAACCAGCTTTACCCTACACTCCTGGCTCGGATGTGGCTGGGGTGATTGAAAGTGTTGGGGAACACGTGACGGCGTTCAAGGTATTTACACACTGGGTATAATTCACTATTGTTTAATGGGTCCTCTGGCTGATTGCTGTGCTGCTGCACCTGGTTTCATGGCTTATAATCACGTAATCTCTTCAAGGGGGGAAGCCCCTTCACGGACTGGTAAAAGCACACAGTGGGATCCCACTGGCAAACCAGCCTGCTGGTGGGACTGTGAGGAATGCTGTGCCCTCCTGAAGTTCAGAGGTCTCAGGAGAGGCACTGCACTCTGTCTGCTTAAAGCAGTGATATCTGGTGTGCAAAAGTTGGGGTCTGGAGCTATTTTTATGGCATTGCAGAAAAGGTTGAGAATGGATGCTTCTTGCTGGGGGTAGTAATTTCAGGCAGAACTGAAAATTTTTCTGTAAAGTATTTGAGAAGTGGAAATTGCTTACTTATAAAGCTCCATAAATTCTGTTATTTGTTGCTGAAATTGTTCAAATACTGTATTACTCCTGTCTAGTAATTTTACTTGGATTTCTCAGTGGAAAAGTCTTGGGACAGGAGAAGGCAAATATCAATTTGCTAAAAGATATCTATGACGTCAATTTAGTTTTTTAATTGGTTCTCCCATTTAAGTCATTAGACATTTGGTCCCAAACCAAAATCAAAATTGTAGGTAAAATTGGGCTGGAATTTCCTGATTTGGAATTTATGTAACAATTTTGGGAGGTCTGAGAGCTAGGGTTATCAAGAGAGAAGAATCATCTTTGTTCATATTTTCTTATCAACAGCTTGCTGTATCTGCTCTGTGTGACTTTTTGCTTCCTCTGACAGTTGTGATTGGCTTGAATGAGAGAGAGATGTCTTAGGGTATATTAAGAGGATACATATTTCCACATTTAAATAATTTAGAAATGTTTCTTTTGTGTTTGTAAAAGCTTTTGAGGTTTTGCATTTGTAATCTGTGGATGGAATTCCTGACTTCAGTCAAAGTTCATGAAGGTTCATATTAATGAGGCAGGTTTGTGTGTTACACTGCAGGGTGGGGTTATAATTATGATACTTAGATTCAAGTATAAGAAATTATACAGTTCATGTTGCATTGATAGTATGTATCAGAATTTTTAAAAATTTCTTTGACAAATGTAACTGGTTATTTTTGATAGAAGAGGTTTTAGCAATAGCCTAAACCTCTGTAAATTTCATCTTAATGTTTATTAAGGAAAAATAAGGGAAATGATTGATTTCTGTGTGTTCCCTCCCTCCATTCTAGAAAGGTGACAGAGTTTTCACCCTTGAAACACTTTCTGGAGGATATGCAGAGTATGCAGTTGCTGCAGCCAACAGAGTCTTTCCTTTGCCAGACAAACTGGACTTCAGGCAGGGAGCAGCGATCGGGGTGCCCTACTTCACTGCCTACCGGGCCCTTTTCCAGAAGTAAGGCACAAAATCCCTGTTTGTGCACTTTAATCTTTGGTATTTACAATACCGAAGTTCGTATTTTCACTGCCCTTTAAAAGGGGGAGGTTGGTGAGAGGGAAATGTTTAAAAACATTGCACTGATGCAATTGTCAGATAATTGTGATCTAGAAGCTTGTGACTGTGTTTTCCTGTTAAGTCTTTTTTTCTTGATAGAACCTACCTGGAAAGGCTTCATAGAATAAAATATGTGACTCCCTTTCAGTGCTCACTGGTATTTTGGCTGGGGAAGAAAAGAGCAATAGTTCTAATTTCCTCAGCAAGCAGACAGGTGCTGTGGAGCAGAGCCATTGCTTTCCTGTGGCAGGCCAAAGTCCTGGACTGAGGCTCAGTGCCAGGCTCTCACTGGCTGCATGTTGCTTCAAGTCATCAGTCACAGGATTTATTTTGCCTCCTTGTTCTCCCAAAAAGGCTTAAGATATCTGTTTAGCCATAAACTGGAATATAATTGTAACAAACTGGAAGCAATGCTGTGTGAACAATGAGGTGTGGTGTCAGCCCATGCTCAGGCAGTGTGTGCTGCAATCCCAGTGCCAACATTTCCTGTGTTCTTCACTCAGAGGCTGTGCCAAAGCCGGGGAAAGCGTGCTGGTCCATGGTGCTAGCGGCGGGGTAAGTGTTCCACAGAGGCAAGTGGTACAGAGCACTGCTCTCTGTCCTTGCATCTGCTTCTTCCTGGGGTGTGAGTTATGCTCATATTTGTATCAATAGATCAGCAGGTTAGGTTTTTATTCCATATACTCTAGGATACACTTCCTTAGGAAAACCCTGTTATTCCCACTACGTGTGAGACTGCACGAGTGCTGGTGTGAGTTCCCCAGTCAGAGGGTCACACGCTGAACAGGTGTTTGTTGCAGGTGCTAGTTGGCCTGGAAGTTTTATTGCTGATAGCAGAAAGCTCTGGTTTTCCAATATGTACAAATTGTTCTCAGTCCTCTGAGAATAAGTCACTGGTGCAGGGTGACTGTGCATTTCTGTTTACATTCTCATGTTTTTACCCATGAGCCAACAGCTGGCTGCACAAGGAGAGGTACTGGAATATATAAACCTGTGATTGAATACTACATGAAATTGCACTTCTAGTTTTCTTTGGGTTTTCAGGGCAACCTTATTTTAGATCTCTATGACTCAACATTTTAGTTTGTCTCCCACACTCTGCACTTGCTCACTTTCTGGTGATGCACCAAACAGCTGCTGTGAACAGGCCAAGTTTCCTTAATTATTTGTTAGACAACAAAAAGATGAATTCATATCTTATTCTGAGATACTAGAATGGCATTTAGCATCATAAGTATTTTTTTAAATTTTCATAAATGAAATGTAGTGCTTCTATTCTTACTGGAGTGCAAGGCTGGTAGGAGACACTGAGAATTCACTTTCTAAAGAAGTAGTGCTAATAAAATCTGTGCCTGCAGATTTTCTTTGCAGTGTATAGTGCTGGTATTAATAGCAGGTGATTCTGTGAAGAGAAGAATTTCCTTGGATTTGTATCAAAAATATAGGGCCCAGGTTTGACAGATACTCAGCATTCTACACTGATGTGTGTCAAATGCTGATAGCTATTAAAAACCCTCAAAAATTTACTATGCCTCGGTAAATGTCTTTTCTTTTTTAAAGAGTATTTGGCTGTCTTTAAGATCCAAATTATTGGCCAAAAAACCACTTTACCACAATAACTTTTTAAATGGGGAAGTTCCAAGTTGCTGGTAGACTATCTAAAATTCTAAGAAAGAGGTAAAATAATTTTCTCTTTTGTTTTTTTTTCTCCCCTCAGGTGGGACTAGCAGCATGTCAGATTGCCAGAGCTTGTGGTTTGAAGGTTTTGGGTACAGCAGGAACTGAGGAGGGCATGAATGTGATCCTGAGAAACGGTGCTCACCAAGCCTTTAATCACAGAGACCCGAATTACACTGAGAGAATTAAGGTAGGCCTGTGTCTGGACCCAGGAATGCAGGTTGTGTTGTTCTTAACAAAGTGAGAAAAGTTGTTTGCGGAAGACTTTGAATTAGATTTATGTAGGATCAATAGTGCACTGCCTTTTTCATTTCTACACAAGGAAAACTTTCTCATGCTGGAAGAGCTGAGCTTTCCTCACAAGCAGTGGCATTTAGAACTTCTTACATTCAGCAAATTCTAGTGTGGGATCACACCAAAAGCACAGCAAAATGTGCTACAGTTCAGCTCATTAGCTATCAGCTGCAGTACAAAGGCTGTATTGAAAATTTAAACAATGAGCTGTAAAGTGGATACTTTCTGTAGTGTTTAAAATAAATGTAGTGTTTAAAATAAATACCAAGCACTAAAATAACATCCTGTGTCCTGTACAGGCATGCACAGGGCCGGGAGGAGTCGATATCATCATAGAAATGCTCTCTAATGTCAACCTGGATGCTGACTTGCAGCTGCTGTCCTGCGCAGGGAGGGTCATGGTGAGTGTTTGTGTCCTGGGCAGGAGGGTGACAGTGGGTGTTCGTGTCCCAGAGCAGGGAGGTGATGGTGGGTGCTTGTGTCACTGATTTTGTGCATTCAGCATCACACTGAACAGCTCTGACTCGATGCTTTGGACTCCTTTGGGCAGGTTGTGGGCTGCAGGGGACGCATCGAGATAAACCCAAGAGACACAATGAGCAAGGAGTCCAGCATAATTGGAGTGAGTCTGTTTCTTGCAACCGAGGTGAGAAGCATTTCTGTTTTTAAGTATGCTTTATTGGCTTGTTCCAGCACCCCTTTATTTACAGTTAAAATTATTTGAAGGAATGAAAGAATAATCTCACTGTAACAAACTTAGTTCATTCCTTTATGTTTTGATTCACTCTCAGAATATCATAAAATATTTTCTGGTTGTGGAATTTAATTCTTGCATAAATTGCCAAATACTATTTTGAACTGCAAAGACCTTGTCATAAACACTGTTTGTTACATGCAGGAGGAAAGGCGTGAATGTGCCACAGCAGTCCTTGATGGCATAGAAGCTGGCTGGCTGAAACCTGTTGTGGGCTTGGAATATCCCCTGGAGAAAGTAGCCAAGGCTCATGAAGACATTATTTGTAGCAGTGGTGCCCGAGGGAAGATGGTGCTCCTTCTGTAAAGGAGCACCTTTCCTCATTTTTTTTGTAGCTGTTCTAGCTGCACCTTTGCTTACATGGTTCACCGAATGTATGTTATAAACACAGCTTTGATCATGTTTGACAGCAGCAGAAAATGCTCACTTAGATGAATTAGTTAACATTTTCCTTTTGTAATGAGCACAGTTACATTTACTGTAAAGTAATTTTGGTAGCTGTTTTGATTGATGTGGAAATAATAAATTTTCTCTGCTGGCACGCTTTGTGCTGCAGGGAATGGTAGGGTTTGGTATCATGGACCATGTGAGGGCAGAGTGAGGCCACTGCAGGTAACACAGAATGAAGATGCTTTTTACAGATTCACAAAAATAAATAACTCACTGTGCGTGTTAATTAGAACTGTAAATTCTTTTAACCACAAAATTTTTACTCAAATTTCTCAAATTCTGTCACATAATTTACTTGAAATAAAAGCTTTTGCTGACAAAATAGTTTACTTTCCAGGTCAAAAGATGGGCAGAATCTCTGAAACATGAACTGTTTGGTGCCGAGGCAGTTCTACTTGTCTGTGCCTCTGAGGTGACAGTATCCTGGCTCATCCATAGGGACTGTCACTCTGGAGCTGCATGCTGGGATTTGCCTCCTTGGAAATGATGATCATGGCCAAAGCAGCTGATTCCTGGATGGTGAATGGCTGATTGTGAGGATTTCAGTTCTTCCTATGAGCTTTATTAAAGTCTCCTGGATCCCTGGCTGCATGGCTTGGTGGCACAGAGAGTTCCTGTGGAATTCCTGAGCTCCATCCACTGAAGTGGGCAGGGCACAGCCCCAGCACCAGGGCTTGTGTGCAGATGTCTGTGTGGGGTCACTTTGTCATGACAGCAGGGCCATTTAATTGTGTCTTGTTCTCATACACCTTAAATCCATTGCACAACAGATGGTGTTGCCAGGAAAGATGGTGGGATGCTTCTGGAGTTAATGATTTCAATTTAGTGTTAGAGTGAGTGGTTTCAGAAAGCTGCTTGGGGAGAGAGGGGTGAGGCCAGCTCAGCAGTGGGAATGTCTGCCAAGGTGCAGCGGGGCCCTTCTTCCCTCCAGGCTGCCCCAGGGCAGTGAAGCTGGTTTCCTTGTTTGTAGCACTTCCCACGGGAGTAGGGAGCTGTGTTTTTTTATGTGAAGATTCAAGTGATTCACCTGGTGTAAGTGATGTGTGTAGCCAGTGTCTCAGCTGATTATCCACGTGAGAGGTGCTGACTGTTCCTGTTGTCTGAGGCAGAATGCAGCCTGAGCAGTGGTGTCATGTTGGGAACCTGCTATTCCTCTTGACAACTGTTAGAGAAAGTAAAGCACCTCTTGATATCAAAGTATTAAACAGAGGTTAAGAGTAATGACAGATATGATTGTGGAGATGATGTGCATATAAAAGCATATACCTTTCCTCTATATTCCGTGTTCAAATATTAAATTATTTTTAATTCGGTTGTAATTTAGTAGGGGTCCATGACATGAATGAGAGGCTGATGGTTTGCAGTGGCTCCTTCCTTGCTTAGTGCTGCCACTGCATCGTGGATGGTGTTTAGAGGAGAAATTGAGAGCAAGTCTCTGGTCTGTGCTCGTGGTTGTTGTCCCAAGGGCCATTGGTGTAGTGGAGTTTGTCACCAGAAGGTGTCAGAGCCGTTCTGTGATACCACATTATCGCTGCTCTCTGCCAGGTGACCTGGCAGAATGGCACAGCAGGACTGGGGCTGACTTGTTGGGAATATCATATAATGTTTATTCTTCTGTCAGTTTCCAAGGTATTGTATAAATGGAAGGAATTTTTTTAATTTTGGAAGAAGTAGTGTGACTAGAGCTAATGAGGAAGGGCTCAGGTATGTCTGATTTGTGCAAGCTACCAATCTAGAGAGTGCCATCCTGGAGAGTCCTTGGTTTCGCTCTCTTTTTGGGACATGCTGCCCCTTGGCAGTGCAGAAAAGGATGAGGAAGAGAGTGGTGGCCACAGATCACTGAATTTGGTGGAATAAGTCTCTCAGTTTGCTGAGAATCTTGTGATTTGACTGGATGGGATTTTGGAGGCAGTGGTTCCCAGTCGCAGCCTGCTTGGTGCTGCCAAAGGTGCTTGGAAGGGTTGAGCAGGCTCAGTTTGTGCTGACCTTGGCATCTGCAGGAGAGGTCTGGGGTTCAACGTGGGGAGTTGTGTACACCACCAGGCTCTGGAAACTGCTGTTCTGTGTGTTTGTAAAGCATAAAAGAGTGGAATTGTTCTGAAAAGCAGCTGCTCTTGGTTAATCTTATTGTGCCCCAAATAAATGCTGCTTACATTTTCTAGTCATTAAAAGTGTAATTGCCTCTCTATTGTAATTGTCCTGTGTCTGTTCCTGACTTCTTCCTGTCTGCAGGATGATACAATAAGTTAGTCTGAGGCTTTAATTACAGAGTTGGGAAGATAAATATCAAGAGAATATTGATGTCAATAATTGCTCCCTTTACAGAAGGCAGATCAATATTGAGTTTGGGTGGATCATGCCACAGAAAATTTGAGGATGGTGAAGCCTTAACATTTTGGAACAGATGCATCAGGAGGCATGGCTGTCCCTGCTGTTCCTCACTGCAGGGATCTTTGCTCACATCAGTCACTCTGGCCCCTGGAAGCATTACCTTGTGAGTTTGTACTTCAATGGGACTCTCAACAACTGCAGGAAGAGGGGAAAAATGAGCATGGAAGGGTGGTTGTGTCTCCTTTATTTCAGTAAATCAGGTGTCTGTTGCCAATGCACACTTCGGTGCTTCCTGTCATCTGTATTGAGAGATGGAAACCAGGATTAATATTGGAAGTGCATCCTGTCACCTCATCATATATTTTACATTCCTGGATCTGTGTTGTATGAAAATGCCTTCTCCACACTTATAAACTTTCACTTACAAACTTTTTTTCTTTTCTTTTCTTCTTATATTCCCACACCCTTCCCCCCTCCCCCCCTTTTCCTTCATTTTCCTTTTTCCATCTTTCCTTTCTGTTTCTTCTTTTTCCTTCCCCTCTCCTGCCGGTGTCCCGCAGCCCCACGCCAGCCCCACCCAGCTGGAGTCTTGTGGCCGGTTCCGGGCTCCTCACTACCAGGCAGACAAGAAGCTGCTGGAGGGGGGTCCAGCAGAGGGTCGCAGAGATGGTGGAATTGCATCCAGAGATGGGGAATCGGCGTACTGCATCTGAAGCATCTCTGTAACGCCGAGAGCCTGCCCAAGGTGGGCGTGCTTGGTGTGGAAAAGAGACAGCTGAGAGGGGATCTCACCAATCCATGGAAATATTTCCGAGGGGTGCCACAGAACGGTGCCAGGCTCTGCTCAGTGGTGCCCAATGACACGATGAGGAGCAATGGCCATGAACTAAAGCACAAGAAGTTCTCTCGCAACGTGAGGAAGACCTTTCCACGGAGGGTGGCAGAGCTCGGAAAGAGCTGCCTGGGGAGGGTGTGGAGTTTCCCTCTCTGGAGACATTCCAAACTCACCTGTTTGCGTTCCTGTGTCACCTGTTCCAGGCGGCCCTGCCTTGGCAGGGGATTGGACTTGGGCTCTCCAGAGGTCCCTTCCAACCCCAGCAATTCTGGTGTTCTGTGATTCTGGGGCGGCGGGCGGAGCACCGACCCCCTCCCGTTTCTCCCTCCCTCTTGTGTGTCTGTCCCTCCCTTTCTCCCGTCTCTTCCTTCCTCCCGTCCGTCCCTCCATCCCTCCCTCCATCCCTCCCTCCATCCCTCCCTCCCTCCGTCTCCTGGCGACGCCGGGACGCGGCGGCAGCGCCGGTGCCGGTGCCGGGGCAGCGCTGCCATGAGCGCCCCGCAGCCCCGGTGAGTGGGCCGGGGCCGGTCCGTGTCGGGCTTCCAGCGCTGCGGGAATGGTGCCGGGCTCGGGGCCGCCGGCCGCGCCTCCCTGCTGCCCGCCGGGGCAGAGAGGGGCGCTGGGGGTGCCCCGACCCGCCCGAGAGAGCCCGGGGAACCTGCCCGGCAGCCAGGGGCTCCCCTTCGGTAAGGCCGTGCTCGGCGCAGGGGATGGAGCCGTGGGAATGGGGCTGCTGCTGCAGGTGAGTCCCTAGTTACCTGCCCTCGGAGCGGCAGGCTTTGAGTTCAGAGGATCCGGACTTCCCCGAGCTGATGTCACAGACAAACAGCGAGGAACAGAGAATCTCTGCAGGTCTCTATGACAGAATTTGGCACATCCTGGTATAGTGGGCTATGGTCTGAGTAAGCAAGCAGCGGTACAGCCTGCTCCTGGGCCACAGACAACATCATCAGCAGCACAGCCCTTTGGCTCCCCGTTCCGTGTGCGGCTGTGAGGCTTAAGACTTCCTCAGGGCGGGGGGAATGGCAGTGGGTGCCAGGCAGAGCACAGGCACCGTGGTCCCCTGTGACTCTGCCAATGAATAACTGAAGCTTTGGTGCTCTCTTTATAATTTATTTGGTGATCACTGATTTAATTGCACTGTGAAATATTAACTGTGAAGGTTTGCTTTACAAAGCACGTAGGATGTCTGCTGTGGCTTTGTCTTGATATCCTTCCAAATGAGTGAGAGTGGTCTTAAAATTTACTGTGGTACACAGCTCTGGCTCTGAGCGTAGGGCTTTGGGTAAGCTGCCAGCTGAGAACAAATATACTGTTAATAAATAATAGTGTCGATGATCATAGCATCATAGAATTCTAAATAACCTCAAATATAAACTTACTGACCTAAGTGACATGTTGTCACTGGCTGTGGTGCCAGAGAAACAAACATTGATGCTTGTCTTGAGAAGAGCTTCAGACATACTCCAGGAATGTACAGATCAGTCAGTTTAGGTTCTGTGCCAGGAAAATTGTCTGCTATTCTAATAAAACCCCAGCATTTTTAGAGAGAAGAATGAACAGGATAAATGGGCAGAGATAAAGGAGTCCCAGGAATACCCAGGAAAGGGATGTGATTACTGTGACACTCAGGCTGAACAGAGCTGTTTGAGGCTGGTGCTTTCCCTTTGCTGTGTTTGTTCCTAACAAGGATTTTGTCAGTTCTGCACTTCTGCCTGTTGCAGAGGTTTCAAAGGTGATGTTTGTGTGTGGTTCTTTAATACTGGAACCTTGAACAAGACAGCTCAGACAAGAACTTCTCTTATCCTTTTGTTGATACCAGGAGCAGGCTAAAGGGGAGCAGTGGTTGTTTTGCTGGAGTGCTCCTGGCCATCCCCGAGGCACGGGTCCATGCCAGCATTTATGGCTGCAGGGGATTCCAGGGCTGCAGCTCGTGGCTGCTCTGGCAGCACGCAGCCAGACCCCGGTGGGCCCGCTTGCATTCTTTCCAATGATTTAATGGGTGTTGGTTCAGGCCAACACATTTCCTTATTTCCTCTAATACCCTTTTGAACTCTGAATTTAATTCAGTATTTTTGAGGGCCAGCCTGTTCATGATTTAAATGAGAAAATACATGTTCTGAGACTTTGGTGAAACAGAAAGTGCCACATCACTGTGTTCAGATGGGAGCTGCATTTTAACTAGTTATGTGGTCCAAGATGTCTTAGGTGGAAGGAAGTAAATTAAAGGAGTTGGATTGAGTTTCTCCTCTGCCTCAACATGCCGTTGCCAGGTGATACCATAAATGAATACTTAGCAAAATTGGTAGAATCTGGTGGTTTCAAATGCAAACTGTGGATTAAAATGGTAACACAGAACATTTGCTATCATACCAATGTTCAACCAACAGGCATAAAAGGGTAACCTACATTGTTTGTTTAAAGTTTAATTAATTGTTGGCAGCTCCCTTTGAGTTTATTGTTAAACCCCATGTAAAATTCCTGTAAATCTATGATCTCTTCAAGATATTTCTCATTTCTTTCCTTGAATATGCTTTTGTGTGTGGCATATCAGCCTAGCAATAGACATATAACTGAGTTTTCCAGCTGGAAGGGATGTAATAGAAGCACAGTGCATTTAAATCTACAGCCAAAGAAAACAAAAGAGTTCAGTCTCTTGTGTAACTTGAGCCCAGAGAGCCCAGAGGTCAGGCTGAACATATTGTGTGACAGGTACCTGAGTGTATAAACTGTACAAATGTGAAAGGATTTAGAGTCTTACCAGCTGCATCCTAGTGTCACTGACTTCTCTACTTGTCCTGTTTTCCAGAGGGTGAAGTAAGATACAGTTGTGCTAAGAATAGTTGAAAAACATAACTGCTAATTATGAATGCTTCAGTTTTTGTGTTCACCTTTCACATCTGAGGCTCGGTCTTTTGAAGCTTTGCTCTCTGCTAATGTGATGGTTGTAGTGAGGCCCTGGCACAGGTTGCCCAGAGAAGCTGTGGCTGCCCCATCCCTGGAAATGCTCAGGCCAGGCTGGACGGGGCTTGGAGCAGCCTGGGCCAGTGGCAGGTGTGGCAGCCACCCGCAGGGCCGGCAGAGTGGCTGGGGAGCAGTGTGTGTGCAGCTGGGGCGCAGCTCCCGGCGCAGCGCTGTCCTGCCCGGGCTCGTGCCCAGGAGCTGCTGCTGCTGCCGGGGCTGGCCTGGTGCTCCCGAGCCCTGCTCCTGGCAGGGCTGTCCCACACTCTGCTCTTGGCCTCAGCTGCAAGGCACGCGTTTCTGACAGGAGTTCCCAGGAAGCCACCACATACTGCTTTTACATAATCTGATGGGCATTTACCTGATCAAATCCAGGATGATTTACTAAGGCAGCATTTTGCGTAGCAAACAAAATTGGGTAGCTCTGTTTAAAGTAGACTGTAATAATTTGTCAGTCAAAGGGATTATAAACATCTCCATTTTATTTATTGCAGCATTCTTGAAACCTATAACAGTCTTACAGACAAACACCTGGTTGGATATTTCAGCAATGCCAGGATAAGACGACATCTTCAGAAATCAGGACTGGTGAGACTGAAAAGTTTCCCTCAATTCTACATTAAATTCAAAATGTTTTTATGCTTTTTTCCCCCTCATATTTCCTTTTGCTCATTTGAGTTTCCCTCTGCAAAGTGTTTCAGTTTGCAGATATACAGCATCATATTGGTTCACTCATGGTTTTTTTGCTGTGAAATGCAAGCATCTTTGACTTGTTTAAATAGCTTCAGTGTTATTTTTCAGAAGTGTTTAATGGAAAACGGAAGGATTTGGTAAAGGTGAATATGCTGAACATTTTATTAAAAACACTGGTGCCCTCCTAGGTGTGACTCTTCTGCACAGGCAGGTGCAGTAGGGCAGCAGGTGTTTAATCCTTTCCACCCCTTTGGGCAGTGGCCTGTGGAGGGTAAGGCTGAGCCCTAGGCTGTTAGGAATGTGGCTGCTGCTCCTCCCATTTGGCTGGTGGAGTTCACGGGCTCAAAGATAAAGCAGTGCTGGAAGGTGGGTTCCAGCACCATGGCAGGGCCAGAGGTGGAAACAAACCAGGAGGAGGAAGTGGTCTTCTGGGAAATTGTACTGTTTCAAAACATACTTTATTTCACCTCCTCCTTTTCAGTAACACTGTGTTTGTGTATGGCAGATCTCCAGGAGCGGAAGGATAATACCCGAGAAGGAATACCGTCTCAATGCCCTAAGGAGGGACCACCAGAGACACGTCCAGGAGTGCTTGGCTGATGCCATATACCACAAGGTCCTTGACATAGAGGTGTGCCCTTGCTGGGGATGTGTGAGCTTCTCAGGTGTCTCCTCACTGACAGCCAGGGGCTGCTAACCTGTACTGGACTGTTTTCCATGTGTGCTCTCATGCTCCCCTGGAAGGCTTTTTCCTGCTGGGAAAAAGGACAGACTTTGTGCTCGAGGTTCCCCACATGGAACCTCCATGGGCCTCTCACTGTCACACCATGCTATTGGGAGAGCAGGCACTATCCTGGCTTTCTTATTGCTTTTGACAGCTCTCAGGTTATGAGATGATATTCACAGGGCTAGTTTGCTTTAAAAAATTCTGATAAAAGCAAACGAGTTTGAACATATTTATATACATGTTATCTGAGTACAAAATTTGGGCACGTTCCTGTGGGATATCAGGAATGGAGTTGGTTCCTACAACTTTACCAGCTTTACCAGTGCTCAGTTGCTCCCTTGGCTGTGTGAATATATGCAGGTGAAATGCAAATAGATTCAATCCACAGTAGTTTTATTACAGGGCTCAATGAGGGTAGTGGCTAGGGAGAAGGCATGGGACAAGCAGGACAGAAGCAAGAGTTCTTGCACACTCATGACAGCCAGTAATGGGATTTCTCTTCCTCTTATATTGATAGCATCATCATCAGCTGGGGCTGAAAAAGAGACTCGATTATTCTATGAGGAAAGAGATGATGCAGCCAGTCAAGGTAAGGCTTCAGCACTGCTGATGGGACCTGGCAGTTTTGCCTGTGTTGAGTAATAACCATGAGCCTGACCAGTGATTCATTGAGACAAGTGCTCTGCCTCTGACATGGAAAACTACAAGAAACAGGCAAGTGGAGGATGATCCTGCCCCAGTTACATCTCCTTCGTCCAGAAGGTCAGGAGCTTCCATTTATGCATTTAATTCCTTCTGAATCTAGTTATTCTATTTCTGCAGTGTTTTTGGTTGGGTGATTTAATCATGAATTGCATGAAATGGTACCTCCTTGCATTTCTGCATAGTAATAAACGTATCTGCTGTCTGATATGTCTGTTTGATGCTCCATTGTTCTCGGAACGACAAAAGTTATTAAATGTTCTCTTTTTCCAAGGCATCTGTCGTTTTACATATGTTCTTCACATTCCTTCTCAGTTTTCCAAGCTGAAGGTCCTCAGTCTGAATTTTTCTTACCTGAACCATTCCAGGCTTCTCATTACTGTTGCTATTTTTTTACTTTTTCTCCTTCTACTATTTCTGTTTTGAAATGGAGAGCCATAACAAGATTAATAATTCAAGATACATTCTCCTCCCAGTAATTCTAGACCTCTGTGCTTTTAACTGCTGATGAGCACTGAGCTCATGTGTTTGGTTGTTTGCCACTCCACAGGATTTGGGCAGAACTGGCATGTGAGAAATCAAAGAGGTTTTAGGAGTCTTCATTTAGGTGTCATGTAGGGTGAACTTGATTCTCTAGTTATAGTCATGGAAGTCCCATAGAAGTCAATGGTTCTTCTCCCCATGCAATCACCTGAATTCATGTGCTTTTAACTGCTGATGAGCACTGAGCTCATGTGTTTGGTTGTTTGCCACTCCACAGGATTTGGGCAGAACTGGCATGTGAGAAATCAAAGAGGTTTTAGGAGTCTTCATTTAGGTGTCATGTAGGGTGAACTTGATTCTCTAGTTATAGTCATGGAAGTCCCATAGAAGTCAATGGTTCTTGCAATGGTTCCCCATGCAATCACCTGAATTCATATGGGAAAAGTCATCCTCATTTTGGCAGAAACATGCTCAGAATTTTATTTCTGTATTAGGAGCCTGAATGCTTTGAGAAGAGTGCCTTGAGAAGGTGGCTGCTTCATTGAGCAGCTGGTAAACAATGTCAGGTCTGTTAAACTGTAAATAATACATCTATAAGCAAGTCATGGGGTAAAGAGAGGAGGAGATTTTCCTGAAAGACACTGGTCACTATGGAAATTGCAAAAGCATCATTTGCTGATGGAACTGCTGTGGTAGGGAGTCACCCCATGGAAGCAGCGATTCTGGCACCCTATCAAGGGATACTGGCTTTGAATACTTTTGGAACTTAAACCAGGACTGCTTCCTTCAGAAAGACACCTGCAGACACCTGATCTGTGTGTGCTGTGCTGCCATGCTGGGATGCAGGAGCCTGGCTGGAGCCAGCGGTGTAATTTAATTCTCACCTCGTCTGTTCAGTGAATTCATCCGAGTTGCTTGTCTGAAAGGAAAGGAGAAAGGCAGATGGCTGAGCAAGGGAGGGTGAGAGACAGAGCTGTCTGTTTCCAGTGGGGCAGCTATCTCAGTATCGGGTTGGTGAGATGAGAAGGTGGGGAGAAGCTGCAGTCATAGCAGGGAAGTGACAGGTGCACTCAAATTTAAAAAAGAAAGAGACCTTCAAACAAACCAAGAATTGTGAGATACACAGAAACAGCCATGGATTGAATCTAGTGGGTCAGCAGCTGGAGAGAGCTGCAGGAAAATGAATCAGAGGTGGGGGACAAGTCTTTGTGCTTGTCCCTCACATTCTCCCATGATTTCCTTTCTTTCCTTAACCATCTGTTCCATCGGGTCCAGGCCAGCTGATTGTCACAGCTGTCCAGTGAAAGGCAGATGTAATGAGACAGACACCGCTGGTTTTGGATTCGGTGCTTCAGAGACGCAAATTCCTTTTCTTTCAGATGGAGCAATCAATGGGAGAAGTTGTCCATATGTACTCCCCACATCCACCCATCGCTCCCCGGAACCACCACGCGCTCTGTCCTTTGGTGTCTGGAGAGAGAACTGGTCGCTCACAACAGGTGAGTGTCATCAGCCTCTCCATGGGCTATCGTGGAGGCACAGGCAGCTGAAAGTGTGCCCGTGGACCTTGGTACAAGGCATTCCCTGCCTGGATCATTCTGGATTAGGGCCTCATCCTTGATCACTTGAGGCTGATTTCCTGTTTGCTGGCTTGTGTTAAAGAGGAATCCCCAGAAGCTAGTGTTGTAGGAATGGCACTTCAGAACCTAGAAAAAAACCCCAAAACCTTTGCTGTCTGATAAATCTGCGTCAGTCTTTCCCTTTTAGCTGCCTCATGACCTCAGGCAGGCCAGTATTAGTGTGTTGAGCATTGCCAGTGGACACAGAAAAGGTTATGCATGTTGTAGAGCCCTGAAAATGGTGGGGGGTTGAAGGAATGAAATCAGACTGGTGCTCATTTCAGAAGGCTGTGTCTAGGAGCTCTGACTTTTGCTCTTTGTTAACAGCAAATAAGGAATGTTAATATGATGAAAATATACTTGAAATATAATGGTACTAAAGCCTGAAGTCAAAGGTCAAATATTTAGGTCAGTTTCAACTGCCTCTCTATATCAATAATGATAATTGATGCAGATTGAAAAGAAACTTCTGAGTCCTGAATAAACTTCTCTTCATATAGAGGGCACCTAGATTTGGAGTTGATTTTGATGGTGGACGTTGTTCTCTTTATCGCCGAACCAAGAAGCCTGCCTGCTGTCAGGTGGTGAGTTAACCTCAGTTAAACAGTGCTGTTAGGTGTTAACATTTCAACTTGGTAAACAAGGAAAACATGAAATAAAACAGTCAGAAAAAGCTGAATATTGAGCAAAAATAGGTATGTTTTTGTTGTGCATTCTCCCTGGGCCCATGTGCTGAAGTCTGTAGAACGCTGCTACAGTTTCTGTGAGTTCATTGTGTTTGCTGTGTGGTGATGAGACAGTAGCAAACCTCGTATTTATGGCCAAGAGTTGTTTTGAATGGTCAGTTAGAGATGCCTAAAGGAGTCTGGCTTTTTGGAGGCGGACTAGAAAATGTCATGTCCTGTAGGTACCTGAAATCACTCACCACTTCCAGATATCTTCATCAGTGCTATTATTTTTCTTTGCGGCGCTGCTCTGCACTGGAAGCTATACATTGAGATTTTGTCATTGTTTTCTTTCTCCTTTTGTAGAGTTCCTTGCGACCAAAAACAGCTCCAGGAGATGTACAGCAGCCCCCTCGCCTCCAGCCCCTTCTTGGCTGGGCTGCAGCAGGGTCTGTATCAAAGGCTTCCAAACAGAAGTGCCATGCACTGGAACATTATCAGCAGTTTGCCTGTGGGGTGAGGCTGCACTTAATTCTGAAATAAACTGTCCCACTTCAGGGACAGTTTTATAGTATTGTTTACTGTGGTTCCCAGAACTGTGTATGACAGGGAACATCCCTTTCAAATGGCATCAATTGTTATTTAAACTGTCCTTTTTCACTTCCCCTTAATTTTCAAGACACTGTCTTACTGGTCTAATGCCCAGTTCTTGATCACAGTGAGGAAAAATGTGATGACCTACCTTTTATAGTAAAAAATCCTTCTGCATACAAAATTTTCTCTCTCTATGTAGATTTTCTCTTATGTGGAGAGAGAGGCAGCACCTGGTTGACTCCAGGAACTTTGGAATATTTTCAGCTGCAAGTCCTACAAGTTTTTATCATCACCTACAAAGGAGTTGCAAAGTAGCAAAAAATTTCTTTTTTTGATCATTCCTTCTACTAAATCACACTAGTGGGCTTAGAGAATGAGAGTCAAATATGGTCATGATATATTTGCAGTTACTTTCAAGTGATATTTGGACTTGTCTTCTGTTCTAGAAAAACATAATGTGATTGGTTTTGTGATATGCATTCCATGGGGTGAGAGGGCTTTGGAGTGGGACTGTGATCTGCTACCACGGGCTGGCAGACACTGTGTAAATAGCTCCCTTCTGATCTGTGTTTGCTGTGTTTGGGGTGGCCATGATTCTTTCTCCAAGAATTTGCTGGTTGGTCCTGTTTATGTCTACTCAAATTGTGGGTGATTTCATGGTTTCTTTAGTGCTCACAACTGACAAAACAGCTAAATCAGAGGTAAGATCTGAGAACACGATGCAGAGCTCAGAGCCATGCAGCATTTACAGAACTTGTTCTCTAGTAATGTCTCACTCTTATGGGCTGTGTTCCATTTCATTCTGCAAGAGGACTAAATCTCTATTCAGATGGGGAAGCAGCGTTTTGAAGCACATCTTGTATAACTGATGCCAAGTCATGTTTCTGTCGGACGACTGGCTGCTCTGGGGCTGTGCTTTCCAGCTGCAAGGGAGCAGCAGCTGCAGGGCTGTGCAGGGCTCTGTCTGAGATGAGATCTCGCTGGTGCTGGAGCCAGGGCTTGGTGTGCACTGCTCTCTGGATCTCTGACAGTGACATTTTCAAGCAATATGAATGTTGCCTTGCAAATTAAAAGAAAGGGGTTTAGCACAGAAATATTTTAATGAGCAGAATTCCAGGCCCCAAGGTAAGGAGCTGTTTCAGAAGGATGCCTGTTGCTCAGTGTACCAAGAAGCCAGTCCATGGCCGGTCCCATATGCTCGGGAGCTGGTTTTGCAGAAGCTGTGTCACTTCATTGAAATGTTTTTCCAGGGGGCGAGCAGTGAGTTAACGTTTAGGAACCCAATGGATTACATGGCTGGCGTGTCACCCTACCAGCCCCCTGCCAGCAAGCGCCGTCGCCGCCGGGTGCCGGTGCCGCCGCCGCGCCCGCACGTCGGGGACAGGTGCATCCCTGGCATCAGACGTGGGCTGCCCGTAGAGAGATGGTTTCATCCCACCACTGGATTCAATGAGCAGTTCTTGATCAATGTAAGTAGTCTGTGTCCACGCACAGGTGCGTTACATTCCTCACTGGTGTGTTTGCTTAGTGCTGAGAGATGTGCATACCTAGTTTGCATAAAGAAAATGTATAACTATTAAAATATATAATTGCTATGCATGTCCCTGTAACCTAAAACACTTGGTGCTTCTCATCAGTTGGGGAGAAAAAAGGTGCTGAACAACACCCTAGATCAACAGTTATTCAAAGCCATCCCCTTCAGTCAATCTGATCCTGTTCTGGCACTAGAATCTCAGGGATTTGTGAAATGCCCTGAGTCCATGAACACTGCATCAGTGACACTGTCTCCAGCCAGTTTTAATTCCTGTAAATAAAGTTGTAGGAACCCTGGTCTGGGTGGGATGATCTGGGTCATTAAACCCGGTTCTTGAATTTTGGGGCTATTCAATGCATTGGGTTTTCAGTTGGAAATGTATCCCACACCCTCTGCATGTTACAAAGCCTTCCCAATTTAATCAGCCCAGCCCTTGCTATAAAAGCCCCGAAGTCTCAAGTGTGGGCTGCGCAGATGTGAGCTTTGTTTGCCCCTTGTTGGAGCTGGGAGCTGAAGGCATTTCTGTGCATTTTCTGCTGCAGAACACCAAAGGGTTCCCCAAGTCCCCGTTGTGCAGCAACGCCTTGGTCACCATGATCTACCTAGGAAAGAGTAAGCACGTGTCTCTCCGTGATTACAAGGATGAAATCAAAGTCTATCAGCAGTACTGTGGAACAGAAAACATTTGTGTCTATAAAGGCGACCTGTTGGAAGGAGGTAAGGATGGAGTCAGAGAGTTCATATTGAGTGTGACAACATTGCTTTTTTGCTAAAACTTTGCCCTGACATCAGAATGATTACAGCTCAGCTTGGTCAAGATATATGCATCCAGGAATGTTTAAACCATCTGCCTCCACATTAAACCTGGATCTACTGTCCCATGATTGAAAGTGAGGTTACAATTACTTTTGCAATGTTGGTAGAAGAATTTAGAGAATTGATTTAACAAAACACTTGTGGCTTATGCTAATTTTCTCTAGAGATATATGGTTAATAGAGCAGCTGTAGTAATAAACTGTCCTTAAAAAGGGGTTATCTGAGTTGCTAAAATACATCAGTGAATGTTGCTTCTTATTCCAGAAGGAAAAGTACATACTGGGAGCCCAGTTCCCATCTCTTTTTGTGTGAGTGCAATTCCCTCAGAGCAGTAAAAGACGAATTGTGTTCTGGGAAACTGGACACAGGAAATGGCTGGGAAGCTCTGGCCTTTGTCCTGCTGTAGCAGTGAGTGGCCAGACTGACAGTGTGACATTTGTCCTAGCTGTCCCACTTTAGGATTCTGGGGCTGGCAAGAGCCAGGGCTGTGTGTGTGGAGGGGTAGAGTTTAACCTACTGATTCAAACTGTTGAGCAGACCTGAGAACCCCAGTGCCTGTCCACAGAGGGCTGGGTGCTGTGGTGATGCAGTTAAGGTACAGCAGTTGCTGCAGGCTGACAGTGAAGCACAATGTTTTCCTGTGAACCCTTTCTCTCTGTCATTGCAGATACCTTCCAGTTCATCTCTAAGAGGTACCTCGGTTACCCATTCAGCCTCACCTTTTATCTCAACGGGCTCCAAGTTGACAGGCTGAGCTGTTGCTGTGAGTACAAAGGCTTTCAGTGTAAGAGGCCTGCCCGGCTGCGGCGCAAAAACACCTACTTCAGGGTGCTCCATGTGGCAGGAGCACCTCCTTGCTACAGGTATGGAGAAAGCACACTTCGCTCACAAGGGCTTCCTTCAGAGAGCTTCTCGCTTGTTTCTCGTCTTTCCTCTCTGGCTCCACGCAGCTCTAGAGCCCGCTCAGTTTCTCAGTGCCCCTGGGAGGTGCGGGACGAGGTCACCTGTCAGCTCTCACATCCAAGGGCAGCAGCACAGCGGCTCCCGTGGCTCCTCAGCCTCCCCGAGCTGTGGGGACGGAGTGGGGACAGTGCTGCTCTTGGAGCTCGGGGCAGTGGCTCTGGGTGCGGCACTGTGGCCACAGCGGCAGTGGAATAAATACCGAGCGTGCTGCTGGTTAGCTGGGGTTTCCAGAAGCCTTTTTGTGATAATTGATTTTTAAACAGCTCTGCCTCTGAAGTGAGATTCTGTTGTAATAGTCCTAGTTCAGAATAAGGCAGCACTGAATATTTGCCACGGTTCAGAAAACAAATCTGTGCAGAAAGGTCTTGGGCAAATGTCAGTGCTGTGACCAACAGCTGTGATTCTGCCAAGAGGCTTTAATTTTCATAAAATCTTCCCTTTCTGTAATTGTTAATTCAGGCCATACATAAACTTACAGACGTGGATAATTTAAAATCTTTTGTGTTATTTTAATAAATAATTTTTAAAAGAGCAGCTTGCAGTTGGAACAAGAACTCTTCACAGAGGTGTACTCTGTTCCTTCAGATAAGGACTGAATTCTAAGAAAAAAATGCTAGTTTATTGTAACATAGCTTTTGCTCCAGTCTAACAATGAACATGATTTATGTTCATTGCATGTTCATGGCATGTTCAAAGGAGTGAGAAGCATCTGAATTCAGAATGGCTATAGTGGCTATAGATTTTAGGAAATGCCCCAATCTCAGCTTTTTGTGATTTCTATAAAAATTTGAAGTGAATTTTCAGAATTTAATATAGTATTCAAAAACTGGATTAATTAATTCCTAAGTTACTCCCCCTTTCTGTCCCCCTTTCCCTCTTAGTGATATCTCTCTTTTCCTGCCTCTTATCAATCCAGCCAACCTTATCTAATGACTAAAAATCATCTCCATTAACCTGATTTTCCCCATAAATCACAACTATTTTCTCACCCCTTCAGGCCAAGTGCACTTGGGTTTGTTTTCTGCTCTGTGACATACATTGGATGCCCATTTGGTTCCCAGTAAAAGTCCCAGTTGATTCTCCCTGGTGGGTCAAGGCTTTGGCTCACAACGAGGTGATGCTGCAGTGATTTCTGTACCATGCTGTACGCCTTGGTCTCAGAGCTTTCTGCTGGCCAAGGTCCAGCATTTCTGTACAGCTCCTGACTGTAAGAGAGAGAGAATATCACTCCATTTTATACGAGAGGGGCAGTCTCAACAACTCATTCAAAATGTTTTGTTTTCCATCTGTTTTGATTTCTTTTAAGTAGGTAATTAGAAAATTGCCAACGTTCAACCTTCTTCTTCCCCCAGATAAGTCTGGGGGAAACCAACAGATAACAAGAAGATAAGTGCAGAAACCCCCAGCCTTACCCACAAACCCTCAGTTATCACACTACGGGGAGTTACAGCAGGATCTGGATCCAGAACACTTCTGACTCAGAGCTTGTCTGCCTTTCTCAGTGGTTCTGTCTTCACAGCCAGTGCTTGGTGCAGCTTCAAATTAATGGGCACTTGTAATAATTTTGGTTCTGTTTGTATGTCAGCTGTCAGCTGTAAGTGTAGGCAGCATTACTGGCCTTCAAGGAAGAACTGCATCTGTGTTAGGGGAGCTCTCAGGGATTTCAGGGTGCTTCTCCTTGTGAGTCCCTGTGGCGGTGCAGAGGCAGATGGGTGTTTGGTTTCCCTGCTAATAACAAGCTGAACTCACTATGTCTGCTGCCCTCCGTTGTTCAAAGGCAGAAAAATGTGACACTTCCCAATTTGTGTTATTTTGTAGGTGCTTTCTTGCGATGGGCCTGGACAAAAAGCTGTTCCCTCCCAAGAGGAAGATTAAGTACTACACGAGGCCGCACATGTGTTCCTGTTCTCCTTACTGCGCGCACAGCGAGCCCTGCGACAGCAGCGTGGTGCAGAAATCAATTGAAGGCTCAATGTCACTCACCATACCAAGTCAGGAAGAAAGTGTGCAAACTATTGACGAAACACTGGAGTCTGAAGAGGAGTCCAGCGAAGAAGATGATGATGATGATGAAGAAGAAGAAGAAGAAGAAACGGAAGACCAATCTTTTGAGGAGACCGAAGACACCACCACTCAGGAAAACACCAGTGAAAGTGGTATAGTATTCCCAAACATGAGCAGGGGATGATGAGAAATGGGAGGGGATGGTTCTGGAGAAGGTATGGGATTGCAGACCACCAGCTTTGACTGGGGCATGAGAAATGTGGTGATGTCTGTATTGGGGCCACAGAATTAGAGTGGCTCCTTTCAGCCACGCAACAGGATGAGGTAGTTTGCAAGAGCCAAGAAAGTGAGTAGGGAGGGTGGTGAGGCAATGGCACAGGCTCCCCAGAGCAGCTGTGCCTGCCCCATCCATGGAAGCATTCAAGTCCGAGTTAGACGGGGCTTGGAGCAACCTGGGATAGTGGAAGGTGTACTCAGCTATGGAAGAGGTGTCAAGCTCAGTCTCTGCCTTTACTTCCTCCTTATCATAATCTTCTTTGGAGGCAATCACATTCACATAGAGATTTTAATTCCTACTTCCTATTCCTATTTTTGCTTTCACAGTTCTGATGTGTTGCTGCTCATCTGACACTCGTTAGTCCCTCCGGATGTGTGTTTGGGATTAATGAAGCCTTTTTCCTTCAGGAGGAACTGCCCTTCTGACAGAGACCTCACTGCCAACACTGCAATTGGAATCTCAATTGATTTTTAATGCAGAAAAAATAAATCTCCTTATTCCCTTAGTTCTCATTGTCTTGATAATTGATTGTTTGCCTAACTGGTTCTGCTTCAGGAACTCTTCATTTCTGTCCTTGGTGTTCTGTCACTTCAGTACGTTAAAAGCCCCGATGGAAGGAAAGGAGGGCAGCAATAAAATCTGCAAAGTGGGGAAGGATGGCCACAGGGGACAGCTGGTGTGGCAGCAGTGCAGCTGGCCTGCACGGTGCAGGTGTGTTCCCTGCGTGCGCAGGGAGCCCGCGGCAGCAGGGCAGTGGTGGATTTTAGGTGGGAATCCCCAACATCCCTGGGATGTGCACAGCACAGCTCTGGGGGACGGGGAGTCCTTAATGCATCTGCATGAAGAGGGTCTTCACCTCCAGAGCCAAGCAAAGTGCTGTGGAGGGCGGGAGCTGGACTCGAGGATCCGTGTGGATCGCTTCCAGCTCAGCTTACTCTGGTCTATCAGATGTCACAGGCTAGTGCCTGGCTGAATTCCAGAATGTGGATATAAGTGGTAATTCTGTGCAGGCTTCGTTTGTACTGGGTTTCCCCTGGGCCCTGGAAGAGCACATTACAGCAGTGTGATAACAGAGTGCCTCTGCAGTGCCCTTTGGCTGGATTTCATTAAATGCACTGAGCTTATAAGACACTTCTTTGCTATTTAGTCATGTCAATATACATTTATGGTACTTTGCACTATAATATATTACCTTTCTCCAGTTTTCTCAATTGCTTGTAATTTTTTTCATCACAACCAGTTTTTCTCCTGTTATAAGAGATTCTTACATTTAATTTCTGAGTTTTCCCAGCTCTAAATTTTTCTAGTGCTTTCCGTGGCTGGCAATTTTGTTTATTTTTGTTTTAATATGTTACTCATCCCTGTTGTTTTGCTACATTTTTGCTACTCTATGAAGAACACAATGTTTTTTATGATAATATGCTCTTACAATTCTTATCTGTGGTCTTAGATTCTCTCATGGCTTTAAAAAGACTGAGGAACTTCAAGGGCAAAAGGAGATTAATGATGTTAATTAATATAAACTCAGAACATTAACGCTGGCTCAGTGTTTCTATCTGCTTAAAAAGAACTTTTTTAATTGTGAATTCTGTTTCCTGTCTCACGGTACAATTCTTCTATTTTAGAATATGATGAAGATTTTGAAGCAGATGAAGAAGTTAATGAAGAGGGACAGACTGGTAATCAAATCAAGGGAATGTCAGAGTCATCCTCAGATGATAAAACCCATAATTTAGACTATGGAAAGGAGAGTGAAACCTCATCTCAGAAGGCACTGCAGGCCTCTGGCAGTGAGAAAGATGAAAGTGGAGGATATTCTGGTGACAGGGACTCTGAAGATGATGTACCAGGTTAGTTGTGTTCATAGCAAGGCTTGGAGAAGCTGATCTGATGCATGTTTTACAGTTTGCTGTGTCCAGTATGCATGTTGAGTCTGCATAGGAAAACCGATGCCCTTCCTACTGAAATGCTAAAACACAGCTGCTTTATCTGCTATTAATTGTGCCACTGAAGTGCAGGGAGCCCCTGGCAGTGAGAGGTGGGCCTTTGCTGAGATGGAGCAGGCAGCAGGCAGGCTCCCAGACCCTCGGCAGGACAGCCCTCCGTGTCAGCAGGCACTCACACGTGGGAATCTGTGACCCCTGACACCTTCTGAGGGGTCCCAGGAAACCTGACAGGCCACCCTGGGGTTTAAAACTCTGTCTTTAATGGCCAGAATATGGCCCTCATTTATTTGGCTGTGCCAGAGAGCTGGAAATAGTCAGATCGCGTGAAGGGAAAGGCGATGGTGCTGAGCAGGGCTGGGAGTGGGACTGGATGATCCTCGTGGGCCCCCTCCAACTCAGCTGATTCTGTGATTCTGTGATTCTGTCTGTAGAGGAACCCGCTTGGTTTTCCCATGATGGAGCAGTAGTACTCTGGATGGGAATCTTTAAACTGGGGCTGTAGGGTTTCTTGGTGCAATGTGTTTTTCAGAACATGCACTCCTGCATGCATTATCGTTCTGACACTTTTATTTTCTTTGCCTGACTGGATTTTTCGGTCTTGAGTTAGACCAATCTCTTCTTGAACCCATGTAGATTGTGGACAGCAGCAGGGCTGTGCAGCAGTCAGCTCTGCTGTTCAGCTCACTGTTAGATGAAGGATTACGGCCTTTTTCCCCCTCAAATTTTCCATTTTTGAATTTAATATGATGATGTCTGTATGTTTTTTTAGAGGAGACAGTGAACTTCATCTCCAGTTCAATGTGAAGGGTTCACACATGGTTTTGGAGATCTTTCTAATATTCAATGAGTTAACAGAAGGGCACTGAGGGGCTGTTGCCATGGTTGAAGTCTTTTATCAAATGAAGCTCAAGGCTCTGTGCTAAACCCTGTCTGAGCCATATTTAGAGGTGCATTTGGAGGTGTATTTCTGTGTGATTGACAGAACTACTCTGATTTATTTCTATTATCAGAAAAAACCCTCCACATTAAATGGCTTTACTTTTAATACTTCATACATCTAGGCAATGTTCTTCTATTTACACTTACTGGAATTTTGTCACAATATCCTCAGATGGTATAACTCAGAGAATGCTATTGGATGGGATTGTGTCCCTTTGTGAGTGCCCAGTGAACACAGAGGTTTAGTGACAAATACTAAATTAAAATTTGCTGTTTTCAGAGAGGAGGCCTGCAGACTCTTTCTCATCCATGAGCACACAGTGCAGCACTGAGACTGACTCTCGTGCTGAAATGAAGGCAGACAATGTGAAGTGCAAAGAGGACTGCAATATCAAAAGTACATCTGATAGTGCAGCACATGCACACTATGGAAATGAGAATGGGGAGAAAAAACTGCTCAGAGTGGAGGAAAATCAGGACAGTTCTGCACTGGAAAATAAAGGAATAGATGAAGCAGAAAAGACAAAACCAGAAGATCTAACAGCAAGAGAAGATACTAGAATTTTTCATGAAAACATAATGGCAATGCAGCATGAAAACCCTGAGGGTAATGGGGAATTCAAACACACTGGGTCAGGAGAAAGCAACATGAATGAGGAGGAGAAATGTCCTCCAGTGCCTTGGGAAAGCAGAGTATTGAACAGTGAGGATGGCAATGAAGAGTCTCCTTGTGGTGAGTACAGTCCCTGTGCACAGCTCTGCGTGCCTGTGCTGCTGCACTTGCCTTGTGCTCACTGCTGGTGCAGCACGGGGAGCTGGGGCTGCTGTCAGCTCAGCATCCACTCAGAACACCAACACTGGCTCACTGCTTCTCTGCTAGTGTTTCAAGTGCAAGGATTTGTCAAAAAAATTAATTTTAAACCATTTTAAAGCTGAGATGGCTGAATGGCTTCTACTCCCCTTTTGCTCTTTAATGGTTTCTCTTTCTTGCTTCCTGTTTTCTTTGTGAAAGTTTTTGAAGATTGCAAACCAGTCCAGGAGGAGATAGCAAAGGCAACCGAAAATGATCATCCTGTGAATTCTGACCCTGAGCCTGGTGATTTGTGTGCCAGTGAGGAAGAAAAGAACACAGCAAATACAGAGCATGGTGCCAGTGAAGGTAAGATTGGCTGTCAGTCAGGGACAAGGATTAAATTACTCACCTGAAGCCTTTTAACAGAAGTGTTTGCCCTTTCCCTTTCCTTTGGCCGTCAAAGTCTCCTTGTGCTTTTTTTTCTTTCCTAACTTGTAAAAAAATCAGGTGACAACTAGCTGGCATCTGTACTAATGTATAATTAATGCTTTTTTGGCCATTAAATGGTTCTAGGAGAAGAATCCAGGCCATGATAAAACTGTGAGTCAGGAAATAGCTGTGGAAAGCAGGAATGTAGTGAGGTTCCATGTGCTTCCTAGTAGTGTGCAGCCCCTTGGGAAATGCCTTGGCTCCCAGGGGCAGGAATTAACCCTGCATTATTCCCTGGTGTAATTACAGAATCCAAGCTGAATGTTCTTTGTCCTTTGCCTATTTTACAGCAGCAATTTGTCAGCTATTTCTGACTTTCTAAGTGCACTGTCAAGCTTACAGATGTTGCACACGCACACACGAGCTCCCTGCAGGTAGGGAGGGAGGCAGAGCAGGCAGCACAAGCACAACTGGCCCTGCATCAACATTTTTAGTTAAACTCTTTATGGCAGATGCCAGAACAGCAGTACTAAAGACACGGTCAGAGCGCAGGGATGTGATGAGAAGCAGCACAGAAAGTTCTCTTTGGGTGCCCAGGCTGATGTCCCTCATTGCTGGGCAGAAGTGGCACCTTTAGCACTAACCCTGAGAAGCATGTAACACTGACGGGTGCTGAGTAAGCCGATGTTTGATTACCCCCTGACAGCAGCAGGTGGAAGTCCCCTGGCCGAAGGGAGGAGAAGCCCTGACGTGCAGGAGGCAGCAGCACCGGCGGCAGGGCCGGGACAAGGCCTGGAGCAGGACGGTGCTGCTGAGGGAGGCGCTGGCAGCCGAGAGGCCGCAGGAAAAGCTGCAGGCGTGGCGGATTCGCTGTCCCGGGCAGGCACGGGGGCTGCGCTGCGGGAATCCGCGCCTGAGGAACATCCCCAAGGAAAGGGAGCGGGGGAGGCGGTGAAGCGGGGCACGGAGGTGTCACCTGGGGAGCAGGAGGTGCTGCTGGAGGGGATGGAGAGAGAGGTGGCACTGGGAACAGCTGGGGGAGAGGGGCCAGCGGGGGCACTGCCAGCACGGCAGGCAGACAGAGCCGTGCCCCGGGGAGAGGAGGGGGCTGCGGGCACTGGTGAGGAGGAGGCTGCAGAGGAAGGCCCCAAAGGAGCAGTAGGGCCCCCAGCAGAGGAAGAGGAGGGTGAGGCAGTGTCCGGGGCAGGGGAGTCCCTGGGACAGGGAGGGTCTGCAGGGAAGGACACGATGGTGGGTGCTGTGTCAGAGGGAGAGGAGCCTGTGGAGGATGCTGATGTGGCAGCAGATGGGAAGGCCAGAGCTGTGGGCCCTGAAGGAGGAAAAGTTGTTCAAGAAGACTTTTCTGAAGGGGAGGAGGCTATGGGGGAGCCTGGGGCTCTCCGGGAAGCACTAGGGGATGTGGAAACAGGAGAAGCAATGTCTGGAGGGGAAGGGTTTGTAAAGCCAAGTCAGTTTTCCCAGCTGAAAGTGTCAGGGGAAGAGTGGATGGAGATGGGGAAAGCTGTCCCAGGAGCTGCAGCAGCGCCTGAGAGTGCTCAGGCTCTCCAGAGAGGGGAGAACACGATGGAAGAGTCTGTAGAGGCTGACAAGGGTCCTGTACTGGACGTGGCACCCGAGTTAGGGGCACTGGGGGGTGCTCGAGGGGATCCCGTCACTGAAGGGTCATCAGAGGAGGAGAGGCTGGCAGTGCAGGAGGAGGAGGGTGCAGCAGAAGCACTTCGGAGTGGAAACCCATCTGAGGGCAGCAAAGCAGAGACAGAGAGAGCAGTGGAAGGAAAACCCGAAGGAGAGGTGGTGGGAGGGTCTGCAGGGGCGGCCGGAGCGGGCTCGGGGGATGAAGAGGAGGGCGCAGATGGAGCAGCAGGTTCAAAGGAGCCGGCAGCTGGGACGGAGGGGTGGCTGAGGTGTGGGCAAGTGACAGGGGAGGGGAGGTGTCCCGGGGAGGGGGTGGTGGGCGAGGCGGCGCCGCCGGCCCCGGGGCTGTGCGGGAGCCGGGCCGGGGAGCCGGGGCTGGTGGCCATCGCTGTGCTGGGCGGCCGCGCCGGGCGAGGAGCCCTGGCCGGGGGGCCGGCAGAGGCTGGGGCTGGCGGGGTGGGCACAGGGGCGGTGGCACAGGAGGGGGTGATAGGAGCAGTGCTGGGGGCACAGAGCGGGACAGGGGCGGCAGGGGCACAGGAGGCGGCGGCCGGGGAGCCCGGGAGGGCCGGGGAAGGGCTGGCCGGGGCACCCGGGGCTGGTGGGGCAGCGGGAGGGTGCGAGGGCCGGCAGCGGGAGGCGGGCGCGGGGCGGCTCGGGCCCCCTCGGCACCGAGAGGTGCTCGGGGCCAGGCCGCGGGGCGAAGAGCCGGCTGCAGAGAGCTGCCCGAGCACCCCTGGCCCCGGGGACCGGGCAGCGGCACCGAGCGGGACAGGAGGGTCCGCGGGAGGCGAGGGGCCGTGCCCCGGCACCCCGGCGCAGCTGGCAGCCCCAGAGCCAGGCACAGCGCGGGGCAAGGACGGGCGGCAGGAGCAGGGGATGGAGCAGGCAGCAGCGAAAGCCGAGGGGGAGCAGCCCTGTGGAAACACGAGAGAGGGCGGGGTGGCGGGTGTCTCGGCCAGGGCTGGGGCCGCTGCTGGAGCCGGGGAGCAGAGGCAGCGCAGCCCGGTCGGAGGGAGCCCAGGTGTCCCGGCAGCTGCTGGCGCGGGCCAGAGGAGCCGCAGTTCCCGTCAGGTGAGTCCTGCGTGGGGCAAGGATGTCACTGCTCTCTTCACCCTGTGAGTAACACAGCCACCTGTCACGTTTCACTGGAGCAGCTCCTCAGCCTGCAGCCGCTGCCCCCAGCAGCCCCCAGGCTGGTTCCTGTCAGAGACTGGGGATGCACCACCTCGTCCCATTCCTTATCCCTTCCTTAAATGTCTGCTGATGGTAGCTGGGTCAGGGGATGATAAATCCTTGTGGGTGGCGGCTCTGCATTGCTTCCTATTCGCAAAATCCCGTGCAAATAAATCCCTCTGCTGCGGCACCAATTCTCACAGCCCCTCTGCCCTCCCTCCCCTCCGGCCGTGCGGAGCAGCTCCCTCTACCCAGCATGTCGCAGCTCTGGTGGCATCGGGTGAGCCCTGGGAGCACTCGGCTTCCCTGTTACTCTGGCCTCTCCTTGTAGATGTCACAGCAGCACCTCAGTAGCTCCGAGTTCAACACGTTTTCGGTGATGTTTGGTTATTGTTTTGTAGGATAGTGCAAACTCAGACCCACTCATCACGTCCTCAGAACAGGATGGGGAAGAAACTCTGCTCTGAGCTTTTTCTGCAGCCCCTCAGTGCTGTGTCCTGTAGCATGCCCTCAGCTGTCCGTGGCTTTGTGCCGGCTGGGATGTCACTCCTCTCTTCACTCTGTGGGTCACACAGCCACCTGTCACGTTTCACTGGAGCAGCTCCTCAGCGTGCAGCAGACAACTGCAACGAGCTTGTGTTTGCCAGCCCAGGAAACAGCACTCCTCTGGAAGGATGAAGACTAATCACAAGGATTGTTCCACAGCTGTCTGCCTTGTTTTTCTTGAGAAACAGAGAAATACTGGACTGACCGAACTTCCCCTCCTCCCCTAGGCACCACTTGCTCCTGCCGGCAGGCAGGCAGAGCTTTTATCCTGGGATCTTCCCTGCCCCATGCCAGGGGAGGGGAGCCCTCCTGCATGCACAGTGCCCCCTGTGCCAGGGGCGTGTGGGGGGCTTCCCTCCCCTTGGGCATCCAGGCTTGCTGCTGGCCGCACTTCAGGGCATTCTGGGCACGTGGAAATTTTGTTGAAAGCTGTTAAATCAGAACGATTCTAACAAGTATTTGTAAATGCATGAAGCCTGGCCTTCTGCTTTTGCTGGAGTCACTCAGGAGTGGTCCGTGAACCTCAGCTGAGGCTGCCAGGAGGGTGGGCAGTTCAGAGTTGTCTCAGCCTGGTGCTGGCTGCCCATCTCTGCTGCCCAAGGCTGTTCTCAGCTCTGCTGCACCTCTGGCCACACTGGACCCTAGGACCCTTTTGGGCCGGGCACCTGGGGCTGGGTGTGCAGCAGCCTCTCGGCACTCCAGGCTTGGTGGGTGCAGCAGACTCAGCCACACAGTGGGGGACTGTAACTGTGTTTTCAAGTAGGGAAAAGACACTGAAATGAGCAGGATTTTGAGTGGATTGGTGCTGTGAGTCACTTCAGGTCAATATACATGGAACTGGAAACTCAAAGATGCTCAAGTGGCTGCTGTGTGTTTGCTCCTAGAGATGTTCCTGTCCTAGAGATGGTTGCATTTGTGTGTTCAGTCTGCACGTGCCACAGAGGATTGTGTTTTCTCTGTCCATACTCACACCTACACGTTCACTCAGGCCTATTAAATACCTGAACCAGTCTGTGCAGCTCCTTCAATTTGTGCCAGGGCTTTAACTGTAGGAATAGCCCCTGCAGTGCAGCAGGGCCTGAGCTTCAGTGTCTGTCTCTGCTTGCCAGTGGGCTGACTGATGGTGGGGTGAGTGTTTGTGCCACTAAAGCTGCCTTGTGCAGGCACCCCTCTGAAGCTCATGTGGGCATGGCCACACCTGGGCATTTGGACACATGGGCAGCAATTCCAGGGGGACAGGTGAGCAGACACACACAGGGATGCAGGGATTTGCAGAGATTCCCTGGGAGCCCCTCTGGGGCTGCAGGAGATCCAAGGCATCAGAGAAGGCCTTGATGAACAGAGCAGTGTGACTGTAAGGAACTGGAATGCTGACAGATCATTATTTAACATTCTTGAAATATTTATAAGTGACACTTATGTGTATGGTTGTAACAGTTGGGGGAAGGAATCCTGTGGTTAGGAACACATATGTGGACTTCCAAAACATTAGTGTCCCTGTCATTTGAGCAGGCAGAAGTTTGGTAATAAGCAAAACCATGGAAATGGATAATTGTATAGGTTTGGAAAAGCTTCCCATGGTCCTTTCTGCTTTTCTATATGGTGCTAATTAGTAATTAACTTCAAAGTGAAAAGTAGGTTGCACTTAGGGAAAAAACAAGATGTGCAGCAAAAAGAAAAAAAAGACTAATTATTACAGTGAGCATATGTGAGCAAAACAAACTATCCAACAGTGTTGCCACTGGCAAAACTCATTCTTGGCTCATCAGGAAGGCTTTTTTAACTCCCTGAAGTGTCAGGTATTTTCAGTTGCCTGTCATTGGCTTCTGATGGTTGTGCCTCAGATGTGCCTCAAACAGCTGGAGCCTGGTGACATTCCACAGCTGAAGAGATGCATTCAATCAGTTCAAAACCACGCCAGCTGTGCACTGTGGACACAGGACTGGAAAAATTTAAAGTCTAGCTCTTGGAACTGGGCACCAAGCCCTGGCATTTGTGGCAGATGTGTGGAACAGCGACTGACAGACACCACCAAGGATGCTGGGTGTGGACAGCATGGGCAGCTCATCCATCTGTCTGAAGTGAAGGCTGCAAGGTTTCCTGCCTGGGAATTGCCTGCGGGGTTTTGGGGCTTAGCTGTGCAAACCAGACAGGACCGACCCCTCTGCCTGCCCACTGGGGCTGAGCCTCTGAGGCAGCCCTTTGTGCTGTGCCAGCCGTGCACTCCTGCCTGTGCTGGCTGGGCTGTCCTAGTCCTGGCTGGGCTGTCCTGGCTGTGCTGTCCTGTGCTGTCCTGGTTGTGCTGTCCTGGCTGTGCTGTCCTGGTTGTTCTGTGCTGTCCTGGCTGTGCTGTCCTGTGATATCCTGACTGTCCTGGCTGTTCTGTGCTGTGCCATGCTGGGGAATGTTGGGACCTGCTGCAGGAATGCCAGGCTCACTTCTGGCTGCTGTCCAAACCCTTGTCTGCTTGGAGGCCAGATTGTTTTAATCTAGATCACCTATTGCTGATATGTTAAACAATGTAAAATATCACTACAGCTGCCAGGCACTGGCAGGTCTCCAAAGCAGGGTAAGAATCCTCTTAGCATCTCATTCTTGGTAAATATTTTGGTGTGCTGGGGCTTTTCTGGAAACAGCACAGGCTACTTGCACTCTCACAAACTGCTTTGGAACATGTTCTACTCATTTACATTTTTCAGAGATTTTGTTTGTTTTACTAAGTGATGACTCCTGTGAAACACATTTTCCCCCTGAGCCTGATTTTCTTCTATAGAGAGCAATTAACTAAGACATTGTATCCTTCAAGGAACCAGCAATTTTAATTAGTATTAAAATTAATTGCAAGCACTTATCTTTGTAAAGAGCTTTTAAACTAAAAAAAGTTTTGCATTCTGGTATTTTTGTTGTTTTTGTTTCCGTGTGTTCCCCTCTGACGTGTTCTGAGAAGGTGCTCAGGGATGACACCAGCAGCTCAGGTATCAGTGAGTACACAGAGATAGTAATGCACATGAAGTCTGCTTCCTTGCTCCACTTTTGTTTCTCTAATCCAGTTTAGTTTCTGGTTTTCAGGCCTAGTCACTGAATGCAGAGTCACTGCATGGTTACTTTAAGCAAGGGAAAAAGAATGCAGAGATATTTGTAAGAAAAAAGATCCTGTTGAAAAAGAATCAGTGCTGGAACTGATTTTTCAGATATGACAGTGGATCCTTTCTGCACCCATGGTGTTTCTGGCCAATGCAAAGACCAAGGAATGACAGCTAATCTCTATCCACCCTCTTTCATCAGCCTATTCCCTGCCTGTGCTTCTGTAGCTCAGCCATGTGGAGCAGATCATCATCTGGCCAATTAGAGTCAGGTAGGCAATTCTCATCAGCATCCCAGATGCAGCTTCTCCCTTCTGCTCAGCCCCTCTTCCCTCACAGCATGCAAACTGCCAACCTTGCTTGTACTCCTAGGAAAAATACAACAGATTTCCTCCAGTTGTAGACAAATATGGATGTTGTTTAGTTGTGGTTTGCTGGAGCTTTACAGTTGCTCTTGTTCAGCCCCTTCCACGAAAATCTCGTGACTTTTTGGGCCAGGAGATTGCAGACAGGGTCCAGCAGGGTCCAGGTGAGCCCCATCGCAGGCTTTCCTGTGTATTTATTCTGACATTTCTATTGTCCCAGCAGCTGCTGGTGTAAATGGAACAGCACCTGAGTCGTGAGCCCAGTGGAGCAGTGGTAACCACTGACTGGTACCAGGGGCAGTGCTGGGAGAGCTGTGACAGAGCTGTAGCAGCTTCTTCCCATTCAGCTTTTCAGCAAGTGAAACAGAACAGATGGAAAACGACCTCTAAGCTTTACTTAGTGAAATCTTCCCCATTTTTATTGCTTTAGCACTATTGAAGCAATGACAGGTGTGTCATTGAAGCATTATCAGAGCCCACCATGCAGTCCTAGCTCATGTCTGCCACACTGCTTGAGGCCTCTTTGCAGGCCTGCTTCAGGGATCATGGCTGGAGAAAAACAACATCCTCAATAACACCACAGAACCCTGCCATCAGTGGGAAATACTGATTCCTGCTCAGCCAGACAGTCTTACAGATAACTTTTGTTAATTTGAAAAAAGACCCCAGAAAATACCAGTGTGATTAATTCTGTAATTGCTTCTAGAGGAAGAGTTCAACTTCTGCTGCCCTGCCTCTGTTCTCTTTTTAAATGCCCCATGGTCAGAGCTGCTGCTGCAGGGCACGGGGTGATCAGCTGAGGGAGATGCAGGAGCAGAATGCAGGACAGGGACATCTGTCAACAACATTAAGCTGCTCAGTCCGGGGATGTCAGTGTGACACTCAGGGTTCTGTGGTGGTGGCCGGGCTGGGGGATGCTCCCTCCCTCAGCTGCTGTCCTCCAAGCTGCTGCTGCAGGAGTGGAACCTCATGGTGCTCAAGGGGTCGGACACGTACCCTGCAGGAGCAGAGAGGGTCCCTGCAGCTGGCACAGAGCGCTCCCTGCCCTGAGTGCCAGCACAGCCTGTGCCCGGGAGCTCGGGGAGCGCTCTGCAGTAGCTCACCGTTTTTGTCCACGGGTGGGTACTGGAAGTTCCTTCTCATGTCATCCAGAGACAGGCCCTGAGACGGGGGTTGCCCAGTGCTGCAATTTAAACAGGAGGTGTCAGTTTGTAAGACTGATGATGGCACATCTCCAGACCATGAGAACTTTTTTTCCTGAGTGGAAGGAAGGAACAGTACCATGAGGCATCAGCCTGGGGCCCGGCCACAGCAGTGCAGTAAACAAAAAGAGCAAGAAAAAGTCATGAAGTGAGATCATGACCCCCAGGCATGCTGGCACTCACCTACCCTTCTCAGAGTAACTGCCCTCAAATACCCCATTTGGGCCTTCACAACTGTCTCTGGATTGCCATTTGGAAACAATTCCAGGCATCAGTCCAGGGTCATTGACATGTTTTTTATGTGTCACTGCTAAAAGGTTCTTGCAAATACATTTCTCAGGCAAGGAAGATGGTGGAATTATCTTCCAGTCATAGATCAAATCCACTGTCCTGCCAACCCTGATCCTAGAGATGACGGTTGCTGTGTTTGCCCTTGAAACCAGTTCTCCGAGTGGTAGGGTATAATAGTTCAGGTATTTACTTAATGGTACAATAATATAGAACCCATGTGTGTTCCTGCCTTAAAAAACATCAGGAGTTCTTCTTACCCTTCTGTAGCCATGAAATCAGTGATACCCACTTTTAGGATGTACCCTGGTAGGACGAGTCCCAGCAATGCTGACTCCCACAGACCTCTGTCAGGCTCTTCCTTACACAGCTGTCTCCGGCCTCTGTACCTGCTGGAAGGCTCTGGGCTCTGTCTGTCTGTCCCTTCCCTTCTCAGCAAGGACACTTTCACCTCGCCCCGCTGCCCTCCCCGTGGCAGCCTGCGCTCTGGGATGGACAAGCTGCTGGCCTCGAGAGAGAGCAGAGGCGCAGTGCTCTCTCCTGGCCCTGCCACGCCAGCTCCCAGTGCCACAGCCTGGTTCTGGCTCCAGCCTGCCAGGGCAGCCGCGGGCCGGGCTGGCACGCACCGCTGCGCCCAGGCCGCGTAGGCCCGCGCGTTGACGGCGTACTCCAGCTCGAAGCGCGAGCGCAGCGCGGCCACGTGGCTGCGCCCAGGGCCACCGCGGGCCACCAGGCAGTCCGAGGAGGACGAGGGAGACAGGGACCCGCTGCTGTTGCTGGAGGCCGGAGACATTAACTGCATCAAAAAAAAAAAAGGTACCATTATGGCATATTTACAAGTCTTGTCTCATCTCTCTCTCCTAAGTCATATCCCACTTTCCCTTGGACTTTTCCAGCAGCTCCAAAGCCACCGCTGTCCTTGGCTGCTGCCACTGTCCCTGTCCCCACGTGCACTCCCATCTGCTTGCACACACGCAGACCTCCCCTGCTGGTAGCTGGGTCCTTACCTCAATATTGCACAGACACTCCTCTAACTTTGTGACAACTTCTGAAAACTCTGGTCTGCCCTGTGAACACACCAGGAAAACCAGAGCTGGGTTAAAAATAGAAGGGGGCAGATGTGATGTGATTAGATTGACACACAGGGAAGGGATGAGCCACAGCCCCCATCATTTTCCCTCTCTGAATTTCATGGCATAGCTGTCAGTCTGTTTGGGAATCTGATGAAATCTGCAGGTTCAGTGCTGAGCTACAACATGAAGACCTGTGTGCATACGAACTTTAACTGCATTTCATCTTTTTTTTCTGTAACAATTAGATTTGAGCTAATGATGACTAGATCACAAAAAAACTATCAATAACTTATTGGCTCTGCTCTTTAGGTTGACTTTCTCTTTGCCCATGAACAGGACTTCAGACACAGCAACTGCAGAGATAAGCAGTGGACAAGTTCCTGGCCAGCCTGCCTGTATGGCCATCCTCCTCCCTCCCTTGTCCATGAGAGCTGCACTTAATACAACTAAATGTTTACTTCTTTACAGAGCTCAGCCCTAGACCTTATGGCAAATTCTCTGGCTCTAATTAAAGCTCACAAATCCAATTAGCCAATGAAAAAGGCTTCTCAGGAGATGCTGCTAGTCTTCTAATCACCAGCTTGCCTTTGGAAACAGCTGCTGTCAAAAGTTTCTGGGAAACAGATGTTCAAGTACCTGATAAATAGAAACAGGGACATGGCACATGGGAAGTAGTTTTCAGCTGGGATGAGCCTTGAATGAAATGAAAGACAAATAAAAGGATACATTTTCTAACTTGGAGGCATTTCATGGCCATCCAGCAAAATCTCTGCAGGTATACTCCATTTTCTGGCTTTTTTTTCTTTAAACTGAGCAGACCTTGTGGAGAATTTTGACCTGTGAACACTCATTGAGCCCCAAAACTCACCTAACAAATGGTAGCAAAGTAAAATAGAGCCTAATAAAGAACAGTAGCAAAAAACTCTTAATAAAGATAATTTTGACAAGGTTTTGCTCACACCTTGTGCAAAGTTCTGGCCATCCATGGGCTAAATGAGCCATCAATTGTTTTATAGTTCTGTCCTGAAGCTCTAAAACACTGGCAAGATGAAGTGACATGGAGTCATACTGATGGGTAACAAACTGCACTGGGACTCTAAAAAGAGTTTGAAAATGGTTTCTCCTTATAGGGGCTGACTGGCTGTGGGAATGCTGACAAGACACAGGGACTGCACCCACCTCAGTGCCTGCTTAAGTCAGCACTTTAATATGACACCTTATTAATGAATTTTAAATGAATGTGTGTTACATGCTGTCATTAACCATTGCTTACAAAAATCTGAGAGCAGCAAGGAATTTTCTACTCATTCTGTAACAGCTCAAGTCATAATCAGCATTACGTGATTAATTAAGTTTTGTTGAAAGGCCAAATGTTAATTTACTTTCCTCCTCAATTCACCAACTCTGCTGCATTTCCTGACACACCCCATTGTCTGCCTGGGGGCTTTCTGCAGTGACCCTTCCCACAGGAAAAAACTGTGATTTTGGGGGCATCAGCCGAGCAAAGTGCCCATTTTCCCTCTGCTGGGGGCACTCACCTCAGGACAGGCGTTCCAGCCCCTCATCAGCAAGGCAGAGATGGGCTTGGGGATGGAGTAGCCGATGGGGGGGCGGATGTGGTGATAAGCCATGTCTGCTGCTGCTGCCGCTGCAGGGCACAGCCAGAGACACCCGTCAGCACCCGGAGTCACCCATCCTGGCCCACATTGATAGCTGGGATGGTGTGAACATTCCTGGCCATGGAGTGACACACAGGACACACCAGGACTCAAACCCATGAAGACAACAACTGTCTTGTAAATCTGACTGTGAGCAACAGACTGTGGTGAAGAAAAGAACTGCAAAATAAGGGAACCAGTGCTGAGTGGCTGTTAGAAAAGAACCACCTGCCAACAGCATGTGAGTAGGGAAAAGAGGATTAAAAATAACTCTTTAGTAAGGAATTGGAGCAAGAGAGCTCCAAAGATAGCCTTAAAAAGCATTTTGTTCTGCTGCAGATGTTATGTATTCCTTCATCTGTGTTACTGAAGACAGAGGAAAAAAATAAAACCAAGACAGAGAAACATTAAGAGTACACCTGTCTATCTATTCCAACAAATGTATTTCCAATGTCTTCTCCTATGCCTGTATGTTTGATATTAATTATGTGCATCAAAAAAAGAAACAAAAGAAACAAACCCCAGGTTGTTTTGTCATGTTGTCTTCATCCAGGGATTGCAGAAATCGAGATTCTGAAGCAGAGCAAGAAAAGTAATTACTCTCAGGCCAATACACTTATTATACAGAAGTCCTACCTTAGGTACAATTCCAATTACCCTCTCAGTAAGCACATGCTTAGTTTTAGAGAATTTGGGGTTAATTTATAAGTGTTTAATAAAAACTCCTTACCTCCAAAATCAGCGACTACTGCATGACCATCCTCATACAGGAGAATATTGTGACTGGGGAAAAAAAAACTATAGGTAATTGTTTGATAGCATCTTAAAGATGGTGAAAATGCTACAGTTTTTGGGTCACAGCTAAACATTTGAGTTCAAATCACCTCCTTGGATAGCTAAATGTCTATAGGCATGCTCATATTTACTGTTATAAACTACACATTACCCCAGAGAGGGCAAGCCAACCTTTGAGTGATTTGCATGCAACAAATCCAGAGAGACTTTTAGAAACTGGCAACAAAAACACAGGGTTTCAAACAAAATAGAAACTTGGGGAAAGACCCACAAGCTGCTTTAGCTAGGTCACAAGTTTCCAGTACCTCTGGAGATGAAGATTTCCCTGCCCCAGTCACTACACCTTCATGGCATAGGGCTGTGGAAGGGCTGAGCAAATCACAACAGAAGGAATGTGAACACAGCAATGCTCTCAGGATGTTTATCAAATGCTGACTGAGCCAAGAAAATTCAGAAGAGTGAAAAGTGTATGAAAAACAGAAATGAAAAAGCTGGCAAGAGTTTACATGAGGAGGGAAAATGGAAGTAATATTGATGGTCTCAACAAAAAGCACAACTTGCTCATATTAGAGCTGTGGATACAAACAAGAACAGTCAAGTGAGGAACACAAATTTTACCAGATAACAGTCTTAGGACAGAAAAAAATTTAAGCTTTCCCAAGCAGGACTCCCACAAATCACTGTCTTCAAGATTTCCACCTTCACCTAAACCCAACCCTTGGGATGATAAATTTAATCATAAAAATGTAACCATGACTCTCTTGATTTATATTCAATCTGATTTTAGCTCTCATATGTACTTTCCATCAAAATATTGACGTGATTTTAGTATGACATGTGGAATTGTTTTGAGACCCACACCATATGCCACATGAAAATATGAATCAAACACAAGGCTGAACTGGAGAGACTCGAAGGCTGTGCCCCAGGGTGGGTGTAGGTGCACAAGTCATACACAGCTACAGACTTTGCTGTGGTCTTCACTCAAATTTGGCCTCTGTCAGTAGGGACAGAAATTATCACCATGTCTCAATGTGAATAAACTGCACTGAGCTCCAGCTTCAACTTCAATCTATTCCAGGATTGTGTAGAATAAATCCAACTTGACAAGTCAAGACATAATGAAGACCTAGACTGACAGTTTGTGTGGAGAAGCAGAGAAATAAACTGGAATTCCCTTTCTCCTCATGTCATGCATCAGCCTTTCATAGAATCACAGAATCTTTGAGACTGGAAAAGAAGTCTCCAGGACCTCCAGGATCACAGAGTCCAACCTGTGACAATCCACAGCCTGTCCCCAGCCCAGAGCACTGTGTGCCATGTCCAGCTGTTCTTTGGACACCTCCAGGGATGGGAATCCACCACTGCCCTGGGCAGCCTCTTCCAATGCCTGAGCACGCTTTCAGTGAAGAAATTCTCCCTGATGCCCAGCTTGAACCTCTCCTGGCCCAGGATCTGAGCCACAGTGCAGAAATGCTCATCTTGGTGCTGAGTGCATTGATGGGCATGTCTGAGAGCAGCAGGCTCTGGGGGGGTTTGTCAGACTGGCACCTCCAGGGAGCACTACAGTTACTGATCTTCCTTTTCTAAAGTAAAAAATACACCCCACAGAAATAAGGCTTGGAAGGTACATCTTAAAATGTTGTTATTGCCTCAGTTGCACTTGAAAATTTGAAAACCTCAGATGAAACAGGTATCCTTAAGCTTGTGTTTTGAGAAATACAGCAAGAAAAATCCAAGGTGAACTGAGCTGGCAGAAGACTAATACTGCATTCAGCAGAATCAGAAATTAATTGCCTTCTGTTAAGGTCACACAGGGATTGCAGTGGTGAGAGGAGGCATTGTTCTCTTCATGAAACCATGGAAGGAAGAAAACAAGATAAGACAGAGGAGTGTGCTTTGTGAAAGGACAGGGTGCTGGGGTCTGCCAGGCACGGAGGCTCCTCTCTCCCATGGCAAGTGACAGGCTCAGCATGTCCCTTTCACAGGGATTCGGGCCATTAAAAGATCCTTCTGCCTTTAACGTGCTGTGGGTGTAATGAAAAGCAATGGATATTTTAAGATTTCACAAGGGATATTTCAACAAAGAGGAGTCGCAGACTCCATCCTCATTACCACCAGGCTGCCATCCTCTCTTTCATGTCCCTCACCAAGCAGCTCTCAGAAGTGTTCACACATAGTTAGAGTCATCAAAAGCAGGTCAGTCGCTCAAAGGCTTCCTCCAGCCATGTTCAGCTGTTATGGCTTAAATTAAATGGATAATAAAATGGTCTCTCTTTTATTAAAGTGCTATAATCATTGTGGCTGCCATCCCTCACCATGGTGTAAGTGGTAATAAGTTGATGCATGTCACCATTTCTGATGGCTGTCAGAACTGAAAAGCAAAATAAAACTCCCAATTATTCTTCAAATGGAAGGATAACCCCTTTTCCAGGGTATAGACACGAAAGATTAATTTTCTTCTCTATTCTGTCAAGCCATATTGCAGGTTTATTTAATGCATTATATGCAGTGCATTAGATTTCAGAATTCACAAAGGTGGTTATGAGTTATGCAAAAATTTAAGGTAAAAAATATGAGGCTCCTGTGAAGCCACTGGCAAAACTTAACACAGAATTTCACTCTTAGTCTTTCTCTTAAACTGTTGCAAAGATTTTCATCTGGTAATTGTGCCTGTGGGTTGGCTGGGACTCATGCTGCAAACACGACTGCTGCTCTTGCACTAAACTTTCAGAAGCAGCACACATCAATGGCACCAACAACCCCAGAGCACATTATCTTCTGACCCTGACAAATTTGATCTGTGCACTGCTGTGGGGCTTTCTGGCTCTCTAGGAGGACACTGGCTTGGGTTTTCTTTTGAGGAAATCATTATTTAAAATCCTTCAAGGCAGAACCGTTCTCCTAAGAGGCACCAAGGCATGGAGCTGCACTGTGAGGTCTCAGCCCTGGCTGCCCTGCTGCGAGCCCTGGCTCCCCCAGAGCAGCTCCACAGGCTGCAGAGTCAGGCACGGGGCTCCTGGCTCGTGCCACTGCCTCGGAAGCAAGGCTCTCCCTGGAACAACACAGGTCTGTGGCCTGGAAGGACTGGGCAGGGATGCAGGTACGTGGAGGAGCCTCAAAGGACAGTGGGGGATGCCATTCCAGCCTGCCTGCTGCTCTGCAGGGCTGACAGAGCTAAGAACCACGTTTTGGCTTCAGCAAAAGGATCATTTTCACCTCCAATCCTGCAATCAGTGCAGCTCAGCTGTTTCATCCCCTGCTGCTGCAGCATGCACAAGACTGCTCCCACAGCTAGAACAGACAGAACAGGCTTTTCCCTGCAGACACCGAGGCCTCAGTGCTCCCACTGGGACACACCAAAGAGATGGATGAGTGCCCAGTCCCGTGCAAGATCCCAGCTCCCAGGGGCAGCAATCAGAGCTGCTGCTAGCTGTAAACGAGCCAAGCAAACCAAGGAACAAACCGAGGAGCAAACACCAACTCCGTGATAGCGGGGAAATATTTACAGTAAAAGGGACAAAGCAAAGGGATGGAGATGAAGCAATGAGGGAATGTGACCAAGTGCCCTCTGACAGACCGTGTTAGGCTGAAACTCAGCACTGGAAAACAGAGATTCAGGAAAACAGATGCAGGAAAACACTGTGAGTGACTGCAGCCTTCCAGGACAACCACAGCTCAGCTACTGTGACTTGTACAGGTTTGTATAAACCCCTGAGATTATTTTCAGCTGAGTGCTAATGAGGTTGCAGGAGACTGCACAGTGTCCCTTTGAGCTTTCATGTTGTCTAAATTTTTAGGTTAGAGACAGAAACTGACCTGTTCAGATCCCGATGTATGATGGGCTGCGTGAGATTGTGGAGGTACTCCATGCCTTTGGCCACATCTACAGCAATGATTAATTTAGACTGCAGATCAAGAATTCTGTATTTTGTAAAAAAATAAAAGATTACTTGAAGTTAATAGACAGTTGAAAATTATTCTGATCTGTAAATCATGCAACATTTAAAACTGTTTTACATACAAAATAATGTCACATAATCTCTGTAAAGTAAATCTATGTACTGTAAAATAATGACAATAACAAGTTTGTGAAGACTTATCAGTTTACCTTGTATACCCAATAAACTGAACCAAAGGTCAACATTTTCTAGGTGTTCCTTTCTCTGTTGTCCTATGCTAAAATGAATATTTACATCAGCTTAGGTCCCCTGCTCTTCCAAACTCTGAAAGCAGGCCCGCTGGTGGATGAAGGCAATACCTCTTCTGCTCATGGAGCAGGGAGAAGAGCGATCCCCCAGAGATGTACTGGGTGACAATGGCAAACTGGCTGGGGTCATCCAGGCAGGCTCCCACGAACTGGATGACGCAGGGATGGTTCAGGCGGCACAGGATGGAAACCTCGCGGCAGAACATGTCCACGTCAGACTTGGAGCAGTAGGTGTTGGCTCGGTAACTTAGAATTGACACCACAGGAAGCAGAAGGCAAGGGTTTTACAAAATGTGGGCTTTTGAAATGCTTCAAACCAGGTGATTGACCAAGCAGGATGGAAAAGCCTGACGAACTTACCGTTTGATTGCAACAATTTTATTTCTACATCGTCCCTTATAGACTTTTCCAAAAGACCCTAAAATAGTTTAAAATAAATAAGCTCAAACATGCTTGTTATGAACATCAAACATTTAAAGTGAATGCACTTTCACTTCTGGTACCTGAGCCAATGATCTCGTGGAACTCTATCTCAGAGAGCTGCAGGTGGAAGTGTGACGGCAAACCAGCTCGGAGGAGGAGCACATCAGCCTTTTCTGCAAGAGAAACACCCACTCTGTTTGTAAAACATGGCCAGGGGGAGGACCAAGCACAAAAGCACTGCACTTCAGAACTCTTGCACTGGGAAAGCTGATTTTTGCTGTAAATTGACTGCTGATCCTGCTCCCTGCTACAGCAAAGCCCAGTGACAGACACACCCTTGCAATGCCACAGGGCTCTCCTGGCTTTAGCACCTGCCAGCCATCAGCACTGCCCCACATTCCCAAACTCTGCCTGCACCACGGGATGGCAGCACAGAATTCCTTACTTGGAGAATTCATCCCTTCCCTCTGGGTAGCCTGTGCTCATTGCTGGGGATGCTATTCCAGAGCCGACTTGGTGACATGTGGAATCTGAACTTTGCGAATGAATTTAGTTGTTAAATGTCTCTATCTTGTTGATCTTTTTAGTTTATTATTATAAAGTTCATCAGAATATTTCTAAACAGAGCATTTTGATGCTGCTATGTAAAGGACATAAGGACTTTATTATATTCAGAGTGAACATTTAAAGTGGAAAATTGAAACTACCAAAAAAAAAAAAAAAAAAAAGGAAATATCTTAAAATACCTTAAAATATTTATCTGAATGTTTCAGCTGTATTTGTTTCGGAGCAACAAATTATTAATTTTTTTTTGACAGAATTTTTGTTATAAGGATAATTCAGGCATTCTATGTTGTGATTTAAATGATTCTTATTTGCATTCATGGAGAAATGGGTATTTCATTAGTGCTATTTTTTTTTTTTCACATCACAGCCTTTCCTCAAAGAAATAGAAAGAAACAAATATATATTTTTAAAGTGAATGAAAACAAGGCAAATACAGGAATTGTCATTATACTAAGTAACAAAGCTAAGTATATTGTTTCCTAATATTATCCCAGGGAAATGGAACAATGTACCATAAAAAGTCCAGGAATAATGAACCTGTGCAGGATGTTCAGGCTGACAAACACATTGGATCAAAGGACCACAAAAGTTCATGTTTTCCCTTGCCATTGCAAATACCTTTTGTCATGCTTTTAATCTTCCCCAGCGGGGATGGCACTGACACGTAGGAGCCGTCTGAAATAAAGAACTGAGTGAAATTAGGGAGTTCAGCGACAACATGGTGATGGTGTTGATACATTAACGAGTCAGTGATGCCAGAAAGAATTAATAATAAAGGGTGAGAATTCAGATAAACACACTGACACATCAGATGGGAGTGGTTTGGGCTGGGATACAGTTCATTTTCCTCACTGTGCCAGGCACAGCAGACTGGGGTGTTGTATGGCTGCAGCCTCGAAAGGAATCTGTGTGTGGCCAGAAAATGGTGAGTGCCATGACTGTGACTTTATTTGTGCTGGACAGGACTGACCCAAAGCTCTCTGACAGGGGTGGAGCACTTCCAGAGATTTCAGCAGTCTTTGGATCAGGCCCTTTGAATAAAATGATGGCTCAGCCCATACCTCCTCCAGGCTGGGAGTATTCGTTGCAGGGGGATTCATCCTGAGGTCTCTTGTAATGCTTCAGGAGGGTCACAATTGCATCGTGACCTAGGAAAGAAAGAGGAATACAAGGATTTGCAGGTAACTCAACAGACTTTTAAAAAAATTAATTTATACGAAATCAGGGGATTTTTTAAAAAATGTAAAACATGACTAAAAAATATGCAAATACATGGTGATATTAATCTAAACCTACTGTGATTCCAAATTGTACAAATATGGGAAATTTCTGCCAGTAAAAACAAGCATGCTATTTTCTCGAGTCCAGCTACTCCTAAAATGTAAGATATGGAAAAGGAAAACCCTGCTGCAGAAATCCTGCAGTGGAAGTTGAAGATAGTCTTCAGTGAACTCTTCTTGAGTTTGTGCTGGATTAAACTAATGCTTAGCAGAGATCTGAGATGACAAATTGAAGGGCTGGTGTTTATAACCCTTAGTGCCCGGGCAGCAGGTGTGGGAGCTCTGTCTGCAGGCACTGGCAGGTTATTTTGCAGCGTTATCTCCTTCCCAAGCTGCCCTCTCCTTCCTGCACAGCCTCTGTGGGTTTTGTAGCAGAAACCGGAAAATTGAAATACCTTTCTCATAAGCCCACATCAGACAGGTCTGCTCATCCTTTTCTCCACTGGACCTGCTGGGATCACAAGCTACAAGATTCATATCAGCTCCATTATCCAGCAAGAACTGCACAAGGCGAATGTGGCCATGGTAGCAAGCACAGTGCAATCCTGCAACATCAGAGAAGTGTGGGGAGCACAGCTGTCAGAACGTGGCCACGGGACTGCAGCAACAACTGTAAAGTGCAAACTGATCTCCTCGATAAACAAATATGTTGTCAAAAAAATACCTGAGGCAAGAGGTGAAACATTAAGGCTGCAAGAACCAATCTATTGCCTCTGCACAATGTGCCACCACTTGCTTTGCCACCTGCAAACCACATTTAATGACTCTGTATGTGAGAAAATCAAGTGGAAACAAAGGCAGCTCTGTGTAGTGGGGACAGGAAGGTGTGCAGCCCTTCAGACAATACATTCCAGAAGCCTATCTCTTTGCAGAATAATTTCTAACACTACTTAGAAGCCTTAATATGGGAGGAACAGTTTACACCAGGTTTTGTTACTCATATACACCCTAATGAGCCTGACACATACTCACTGAAGTCTTATCACTTCTATGCCTCCAGTAAAAATATTTCAAAAAAGCTGTGCTCTGAAAGGTACTTGGGTGCTGGAAATCCTGGTGGTGTATGGCTTCCCAATATTTGGTGCTGGTATATACCCCCATACACAGTAAGTAGGGTGATGTTACCTGTGTGCCCATCTCTCCCCTGATGATTGATGCTTACAACATTCTGGTCAAGAAGAAACTTGACAAGTTCTATGTTCTTTCCATAGGTGCAAGCACTGCAGAAGTAAAGGGAGTGGTGAATGCTGTAGTCCATAAAAGAGGTACTTTGGGTAGCCAAAAAAGAATTACAAAGAGTAAAAATGCAGTAATAAAGGATCATTAGAAATGTGCAAATGCATGATTAATCCACCAGAGCCTATTCATTTTTATTGTTTCAGAAACATTCTAATTATTGCTGAACCACCTAATTTTGCACAGTTGTGCAAACCCTCTGTGTTGCAAAGTGTCTCTTAAATAGCCCTTTACAAAATTCCAGCAGGCCAACAAACAGTCTTCTGCCACCTGGTTTCTCGTTCAGAGTACCGGGCTCCAGCAGGCATCCAGGTGGAACAAGCTCTGACCCCAGCTCCCAGACTTGACAAGGAGAGGAACCATTGCCCAGCCAGGTGTTGGGGAACCTGATCCTGCTTCTGCCTCTTGCTTCATGCCCTGTCACATATCTCATGACAGAAATCACCCTCCCTCTGTAGCTCCCTGCTCGCTCTGTCCCTCACCTGGCTGCTGGGGAGACATCTGTGATTCTGGGTGGTGTGAGACATTGGTAATTGTGGGTGTTGTGTGACATTTGTGATTCTGGGTGTTGTGAGACATTTGTAATTCTGGGTGTTGTGAGACACTGGTAATTCTGGGTGTTGTGCTGCACATTTGTGTAAGTGGAGCTCCACTGACAATGGCATTTGAACACCTCACCTGTGGAAAGCTGTTTCACTGAATATATTTTCTTTAGTGAGACTTTCTGTTCCTGAGAGCTGAATTATTTCCTTGACAACTTCAAACTTCCCATTGTAACAGGCACTGAAGAGGAAGCCAGTACAGAGGTGTTACAAAACCAGCCTTCCCAAGAGCCCCAAACCTGTCCAGCTGCTGCTCCAGGGCACTCACAGGTGCAGAGGTGTGTCTCCATAGATATTCACCACGTGGGGCTGCACCTCGAAGCTGCTCTGCAGTAAGAACTTCACAATATCATGGTGCCCAAACCGAGAGCAGAAGTGCAGAGGCACATGATCTTCGTTGTCCTGAGCATTCACTGCCGGTTGACCCAGAAAAAGATCACAGAAAGGATTTTATCCTTAACACAGTGTGTCTGGGATTGTTTGGGATATTTAGTAGAATTTTATGTGCTGTGTCTATGCATTTTGAAACCTCCTGGAAAAAAATATTTGTGAACGTATTTGTTTAAAATTGAAATTTCTGTATCTTTTGGATATCAAACCCACATTGCTCTGTGCCACCTGCAGTGCACTGTCAAGGTGATTTTTCAGAACTTGGAGCATGACTGCTTTCTTCCAGCTGCAAACTTCTTGAGTCTTTTGACAAAGCTTTCCATGAAGGAAACATGAGTTATAAAAGACCCTTAGAAAGAGCAATTTTGAAGCAAAAGTAAGATAGTAGCAACACCAACAGAACTGAGAACGTCCAGGCAGCACAGAACTGCTGGCATCTACCAGTAGCAGCCAAATATTCCAAGGGCAGTTGCACAGAGTGTCCCTGGGGGGTCCGTGGCCTGCAGATGGGAATGCTGGAGGCTGCCAGCTGTCACGGAGCACATCCATGCCAGGGAGCTCCTGCCTGCTCGTGGGTGGGACGGGCAATGGCTGCGGCTCTGGGCTCACTAGCGAGTCACACCGTGTCAAAAGAAACAGTTCAAGTTTGTGACCCCAATTACTGCTCTGCACTGAGCAGTGCCAAATTTATTCCGGTTCTTTCCCCAGTTCCTTTCATTCCTGGGCACTAAAGACTTTTCCTCTGCTGCTGCATTTACAGCAAGTTTCAAAGTGTGCTACTTTAAGAGCAAAAGGCTTCCCGCTTCCAGTCTCCCTTTTCTTTTTTTCTGTGCTGAAGATTTTGAGTTTAAAGAAAAGGACCTGAAACGGTGCCCCAGATTCTTTTCTTTTGGTATAAACTCTCTAACAGAGGGCAAACCTCCCACTGCCTTGTCATGATGAGAGAACGTGTCTTTTTTCCCCCCTTTATTATAATTATATCAGCCCAGTGCACACACATCGAGGCTGAAACACCCTGAGCTCACTCCTGAAAACAGCACACAGACCTGACTGTGCTGCTTCCCTTTTTATTGCAGGAGGAGGATGTGTGATTGCAGGCAGGACTCACAGAGAACATGGTAAACTGATGTGCTAACGAGCAGTACGTTTCCAAGCAATGTACTGATACTTCCCAAAAAACATTTCTGTCTCTTACTCTGAGGATAAGAAATTAATTTTTAAATAATTTGGAATTTGCTCAGTATTTAAAAGAATTGTAGAATGGCCTGGGTTACAAGGGACCCTGATCTTTAAGTCAGGGACACCTCCCACTGTGCCAGGTGCTCCAGCCCCAGTGCCCAGCCTGGCCTTGGGCACTGCCAGGGATCCAGGGCAGCCACAGCTGCTCTGGGCACCTGTGCCAGGGCTGCCCACCCTGCCAGGGAAGGATTTTTTCCTGGTCTTTAATCTAACCCTGCCCTCTGTGAAGCCAGTCCCCTCGTCCTGGCACTCCAGGAGTAAATAGTCTCTCTCCATCCTTCTTTAAGGCTCCCTTCAGGTACAGGTAAGAATCTCTGCACTGATAATCACAACATGCCAAAAATGTCACCTGTAAGCATTTGTATGCCTTGGTGGGTGTGCCAGCAGTATGCAGGGGCACACCTGTGACACAGGTGACACACAGGTGGCACAGCAGTGGAGGAGAAAGGCTGGAGTGTGGCACATTTTGTGCTTTCAGCATTACTGAAGCAGCAAAAGGAGCGGGAACGGAGCAAGAACAAGAACCCAGCAGAACCGCCAGCTGCACGCTGACATTAGCCACAGGAGAAAATATTTTACATTTTATATTAATGCAGAATATAAGCAATGAAGTGCAATGTCCCAGCCTGAGTGACATCACTGTGAGGCCACCTCAACTAAGAACTCATCCAATGCCCAAAGTGTGCTAAGACACTTTTGTTCAGCCCATCAAGTCTTCACACAGGAAATTTCTCAGACAGAAAATGGCCCACAGTGAAGAGCGGGAAGTTTGTGGAGCATAATAAATCATGTGCTAAAAAATCCCCTTTTCTGTGGAATTTTGACTTCCATATGAATTATTTTAAATTACCTGCTGCATAATTTTGACTTAAAATTGTTCTCCTGTACCTCATTCACTAGTTCTCTGTGCATTTGAGTTGCTTTGACTACACATCCCCTCCACATATTCCCTGCTTGGATCAATGTCCAAAAAATAATCCACCTCTGTATATTCATCTTAATTTTGTTTTCTGCCCCGTTTTTCACCTCTAACTTATTACTGAAAATAGAGTAAACGTGAGATGACAAACCAGCATACTTAACCAAGGAAAGCTTTCCAGCTGCTGTTTTCTTGTTTTAGTTGTCCAAAGATGATATACAGCCCCACATACAAAGAGAATGTGCTAGGAAGCTAAGACTCTGTCTAGAAAATGCAGTGTTAAAGATGATTTTTAGATATATTTTCTTACCATCAGCTTTGCTTCCCTCTTCCATCAAAAGCTTTGTGATGTTGAGAAAGCCCTTGGCAGCAGCCAGGTGGAGAGGTCTGTCCCCAACTTCACCACTCGCATTCACATCGGCTCCAAACTTCAGTAACAGGTGGGTTACCTAAGTATTTAATTAGGGTTAATTAAAATATCACATGAAAATAAAACCTTGAGAAAACCAGATACAATAGTGCATTGGGTAATACTATATGTGAGCATCCCTGTAAAGTTAAAACAGGGCGAAGAGATTCAATAGAAAACTCATTTTGAAGTTACATGTCTACAAAAATATTAAAATCCTCAGAAGCAAGCAGACACTCATTCTCAGACACACTCTCAGTGGTGGAAGGACACCAGAGCACCCAGCAGGGCAGAGGAACAGCTCAGCCCCACGTCACCTGCTCGTGGCCGCAGTAGGCAGCGATGTGCAGCGGCGTGAAGAACACGGCATCCTGCACGTTCACGTAGGCCCCGTGCTGCAGCAGGATGTCCACAGCCTGCAAGGAAACCAGCAGCAATGCCACCTCGAGCACTCCGCACGCACCACGGTGCTCGGGTGGTCAAACTGGGCTTTGGGACCTCATGCCTCCCGTTTAAAGAATGTCAAACAGCCCCAAACAACGAGATAAAGGTGCAGAGCTGGACACAGCGTGTAAAAGTGATTAACTTACAGTTCTTGGTCTGAACACTGAATGTCACTGATGCTTTATAAATGAGCCTGAAAATCGGTGTGCCACTAAAAAACCTGATTTATGAAGTAAGAGGCACAGAAATGGCTGTCTGGAAATTCTCTCTCATAAACAACCTTTAATTTTGCTTTTAGCCATTATGAACAAAGAGCTGTAAACATATCAGAGTTTTTAGAAGTGAAAAAGTCACACAAAATGAAAGAACCTTTTAAATCTAAATGTGTGAAGGTAAATCCTCAAACATGGAAAGATTTCTTTGTATTTTAGAAGAGCTCTTTGGCGTCAATAACTAACCTTAAGTGCTTTCTTTCAAATTTCTACTTTTTTTGGTCCCTCAGGAGGCCCATTTTTTTCAAAAGCCATGAACTCTCAAGAAATGCCTTGCAATAGAAGCCTGAATGAAACCACTTTGGGTTCTACACTGAAGCCTGAGGGGGGTTTTCTGAAGCACGAGGGAATCCTTGGGCTGAGGATTACTGCACAAGTTCTGATGGGTGCAAAGGTTTGAGTGTCAGGATGATGAACCAGGACCAGGCACCACGACAGGGTGAAGAGCTGGGATTGAAGGGCTGCCAAGGACGGGGCAGGGCCAGCTCCTGCACTGTGCTGCTCACACAGGTGCCTGCCCACCGAGAGCCCCTGGAGGAGGGCAGCCAGTGCCAGCTGTCCCTGTGCACATCTGTCACCCGCTCCCTTGGCTCAGACCCCCAAATCACATCAAATGTGCATAAACAAGGACAGTCAGTTCAACCCAGGGAACTCTGGAGTGCTCAGAGGACACAAACTCTTCCCCAGCAACATCAGTGCACAGGGATTGCTTCTTTACACAACTGCAATTATGCTTTTTTCATAGGATTGCCTGAAGATATTTTCTGCATAACCTCTGTGCCCTGACGTATGTAAATGTCTCCATTTCCCATTAGTTTTGACCATTTTCCTATGGCATCAGCGATGATTTCCCCTGGAGGCAGCACTGCAGGGCCGGGTCTGATTATTGCCAAGTCTGGGGGTTCTGCATGCTCCCTGGAATGCCCTCAGTGCTGCACCACTCTCGTTGTGATCCCCTCGCCCCCTTCACAGACAGTCAGAATTTCCCTTGCTAAATGGCACGTGTGTTGACATCCTTTACTGCTGATCTCAAAAAAGCACTTGACTACATCACAAAAATCTGAAGAAAGATCCCCTGAGATCTTTCTGCTGGCTGTTCTAGCAGCTCAGCAACAGGCTCTCATGGGATGGGTGGGAATGAGCTCAGGTGCTAAATAAAGAACAAACTCCATTATTTAGTTAACACAGCGGATTCCCTGCACTCTGTTTCCCGTGTCTGGCCAATTTTCAATATCTTGGTGGGCCAGAGGTGGGAACACAGAGCCAGCCAGCCAGGGATTTAATAGTTTGGTGGCTTTCAAATGATTAGTCTAAGACATTTTCCAGCAAACTGCCATGATAAAACTGAAGTTGTAGCTGCTGTCTCTGAAAAGAGATGTTTGGGCCTGTAGCTTTTACACTAATATGACTGAAATGTCTTTGGATCAGCCTGATTTTAATTTAGCCATGAACTGTGAGGCTGCAGCACATTCAGGGATGTGACCATAACTCCAATTAATAACTCCATACTCTCCTCAAACTGTTTGGGAGCTGGAATTAAAAATTTAGATTCATCTAGAAGCTTTCAAGGTGGATCTTCAAGGTGAAAAAACTGTGTTGAGTGATGTGGATCCATCCCTGATGATGAACATAAAACTAGATGGGTTTTGACACATTTTCCAGGCTGTAGCAATGGCAGCCGTGCTTGCTGCTTTGTGATCCCCTGATAAATAGAATTTTGTGTGCTGTACTAAGCAAACTCCACTCAAGTGTAAATGATGAGAGGGGTACAGAGACAGGCTTGATAGTTTCTGAGACAAGATATCTTTCTAGGAAAGAAAAAAGGAGTCTTAGAAAGCACTGAAAGCTGTCATAGGCATCACAAGTAGGAGGCTATGCTGGAGAGATGTGCAAGGATAGAAATACTTCAGAAACTAAGGAGAAAAAAAAAGATTTTTATCCTCAGGAGACTGACAGTGAGTGAAGGTGAAGCTTGTAACCCAGGGGACGTTCCCAAGCTGCAGAGAAAGCAGCTGGGTGGGCTGGTCTGAGGCAGCCAGCAGCATCCCCGTGGGGTTCCCACCAGCACAGCCTGCAGAACAAGGGGAACTAACGCTTCCCTTCTCCTTCTACAACCAAATGTTATTTCAAAACAATACTTTAAACAACTTGCACAATAATCTTACTTTGAAATTTTTCTTAAAATTCTCTTACAAAAGGTTTATACGTTCAAGTCAATGATTTTCACTTCAAAGACAATTAATTAAGCCACTCTTAAGGTTAAAAGGATCCAACAAAAACCCCATGAGACAGACGTAAGGACTTTGTCTTTTGGAAAAGGGCAAGGGATAAAAACTCATCCTTGTAAGGGGGTTTTAAAAAATTATTCCATGTTTCCATGAATATTAATGAAATTGTGGACAAAACAAGGTACTTTATCTGGCAGAGGAACTTCTGAGCTGACTGAAAATTTCACAGCTATGTAAAGAAGGAAAGCAAGAACTTGGACTATAAATCCTTGGTTCCCAGAGCAGCAGGTGAACCAAATGAGTTTAAATATATAGAGCCCCACTCCATTTATGGAGGTGCTTCTGATACAGAGTTGATCGTTCCCAAGGAAGAAATAAGAACTTTCAAAACTACTAACAGTTTCTTTCTTATTGAGTTAATACTGTTGGGTTGCGAGCATCCTAAACCTGCCCATAACCTCAGCAGGAGCTCAGGATGTGGGAGCAACAGCAGGTCTGCCTTTGGCAATTACAGCAGAAGGCCCAGGTGTTTTAGAAATGACTTGAAACCCCAGAGTGCTCAGAGAAGACCTCTTTGTACTGTCCACAGAGGAGACATTAAATACCTGTGAATGTCAGGGCTCAGGTTAACAGCTCCACCATCATTCTGCACAGAACCATCAGACTCAAAGAATCATCAAGGCTGGAAAAGACCCCAAGACCTATCAAGGCCAACCTTTGACCTGCGTCCTTTTGTGCACGTTTGCTCAGCGTAAACATATACGCACAGACACGATTTCCCCAAAACGCAGAAAAAATCAGGCCAGTTCTGTGTTTTGTTCTGAAGGACAGCAAGGCCAAACAGAGCGGCCTGCCCGCAGCAGCACGTACCTTGCGGTGGCCGGCGATGGTGGCGACGTGCAGGGCGGTCAGCGCGCCGTACCCGACCTGCTGGATGTCGGCCCCGCCGTGCAGCAGCGCCGTCAGCAGCTCCGCGTCGTCCTGCAGGCCAGCATTAACCCTCACGGCTGCCGGGACAGGCCCTCAGAGCTGAGGGAGCCCAGCAGCCCTGGCTCCCCGGCTGCGGCACTGCTGGGGCCCGGGGGCTCCGGGTGCCACGGGAGGTGGGCGAGCTCTGTCCAGCACCGGGCCTCCCTCGGCAGCTACACTGAGGCCTGGCTGTTAAAAAAGTCTCTGTCCTGATTTTATGGTGGCACCGCACAACTCCTCTGTCTTGAGTTGCGCCGGATGTCTCCACCAGCCATTCCAAAGCAATATCCCACCCCATGGATGACCTGCAAAAGCACAAGCTGGTTCCTGTGCATGGCTCTTTATGGGGCAGTTTCCCATGCACCACAGATGTGAAAGTTACGTTTTCACAGAAATAATGGCTAGAGAGCTCATCTAGACAGTTCAGACAAATCAGTTGCTCAGTTCTGATTTCCTGTCCCCAATTCTATTTAAAATAATTTACCTTATAAGCTGCCAAGTGCAGAGCTGTAAATCCATTTCTTGTTAGTCTGGATGGGCGCAGCCCTTTCAGCATGAGAGTTCTGATGTGGGATTTGTTGCCTTTACAGAGAAAAGCAGAAAAAAAGACAGTTACAGGAAAGAACATGCAGATGAGGTCAGAAGATCCTGCGTGAGTTTGAAAGCAGAGGATATCTCGACTGCTGAACTGAGGCGAGTAATAAAATATGTATTTTGAAATTCAAAATGATGAGGTTGATGGAAATATCTCATTGGCCAGGACAATTGCAGGTCTGGCCACATACAAGCTCACTATTTGTTCACACTTTAATGAGGATTTGGTAAGGGTAACTGAGCTTCTAGAGAAGCTAACTCCTCCTTTAGCATCCAGAGCATGCTGCAGAGAGCTCCATGAACCAGACAGTGCTTCTGGAACCTCTGGCTCCTCAGTCACTGAGCTCTTCTGCCATCTCAGAACTGGAGCACTGCTCTCCCTGCACAGGGCGTCCTTACAAGGACATCATTTTGGGCAGTGCTAATGTGGGTCCATTAATGTGGCCCAGGCCAGGAGCTTTGCTCTGACCTTTCTGACACACAGTGAATAAATACATAAATTCAATAAATTCATCTGCCTTTTGAGTACTTGTGACAGTAGCCAAGGACAATGTCAGATCTAGTGGCTCTTTGCCCTTCTCTGAGTGCTCACAGAACTAATGATAAGTGTGTGTTTTCCTAAACTTCCTCTCAGCTACCCCAACGGTGCTGATATTTCCATGTATTAATGCATCTTTGGATAGGATCTTGCACTCAAAAATGACAAGTAAAAATCCACTCATTTTTCAGTAGTGCAGGATCAGGTTGTTCCTCATGGTGAACATCTAACTGAGATTGATAAAATCATTTATGCATGTCATTAGTCAGTACTTTGTAGAGCTGAAACCTCAGGGTATAAGTCTCTGCTTCTCTCAGCCAATTTCTGCTGAAAATTGTATAACAAGAGCAAAGCAAGTGCATGAACTAATGACTTTTTTGTGGATAACAGAGCAGCTGTGTGGATCCAAGTGGAAAATCCTACCATTAGTATGTTTGTATGAGCATCCCAGAACACATCTTGCCCCCTTCCCTTGTGTATTTGATGTGCTGTCTGGAAAAGCCCTATCAGCTGATGTTTGTCACTAGAGCTTCTCAGTTATTCTTCTTTTAATCAATGTGAAATAAAATACAGATATTTTCAATACAGTAGAAAAGTTGGTGCTGAAAGCATGGCAAAGTGCTGCTACAACCAGGTCCCTGCCCTGGAGCCCGAGCCAGGACAGAATCCAGAAACGTGGAGCCAGAAATGCGGAGCCAGGAGTGCTCTGTGATGGGTTTGGTTAACGAATGCACACAGAAGCAATTCAGCCAGGAGTGCTCTGTGATGGGTTTGGTTAACGAATGCACACAGAAGCAATTCAGCCAGGAGGGTTCTGTGATGGGTTTGGTTAACCAATGCCCACAGAAGCAATTCAGCCAGGAGTGCTCTGTGATGGGTTTGGTTAACCAATGCACACAGAAGCAATTCAGCCAGGAGTGCTCTGTGATGGGTTTGGTTAACGAATGCACACAGAAGCAATTCAGCCAGGAGTGCTCTGTCATGGGTGTGGATTAACGAATGCACACAGAAGCAATTCAGGATGAGCTGAACACCTGAGCAAGTCCTGCTGCATCCTCCACAGAGCTCGGTCAGACCAAGGATCAGCTGCTGTGGCTCCACACAACCCGCATGCCGGGCAGCTCGGAGCCATGCTGCTCCTGCAGCTCCAGCTGCACTGCTCCCCGAGAGCTCAGCCCTGCTGCCAGGCAGAGCAGAGCAGAGCCTGCTGCAGCCAGGTGCCCTGCCCCACAGCCACACCTACCCCCACACACGCAGCACAGGTGCAGCAGCGAGAGCCCGTTCTCCGTGCGGTAATTCAGGTTGACTTTGCAGAAGGCTTCATCCGAGCTGGAAAAGGGATTTTACAGGTGATTACTCCTTTCATCTTCCAGCACCGCTTCTTGCGTGTGGGAAACGTTTAAAAGAGAAATCTCAGTGTAATTTTTTTGAGACACAAGGCTGAATTTATACCCAGTTTACAGTCTGTAAATCTAGAAATACTTTACTACTATCAGGTTGAGTGGCCCAGATTTATTGTTTTCTGAGAAATCCGGCTTAGCAACCACAATATATACATTCTAAATTTATCTAAATCAGGGGAAATAAGAGGAAAGGCTCTTTAAAAATATAAATTATCAATATAAACTGAGCACCTCTATTAATGCAATAATAACTATGATGTATTTTTAAAATACGTGTATTGATTTTAAAATGGTGAGCAGAACATGCATAGAGCAGAGCAGGGGCCGCCTTGCTAAATGAAAAGAATAACCAGGAAAAACCTATAAAAAAGTGAGTTTATACTCCCCAGATGAAATCACAGGGACAGTGATCACTGTGCTTGCTTACAGGTTGTTAAATGAGACAGTACTTGGACATTCTAGCTTTTGTCATCGAGCCTTGTGGGTTTCCTTCAGCAAAGACTGATTTGTTAGTGATCCATCAGACACTCTAAGTAATTACATTTGTTGAAAACGAAATAGACCTACAGTTAATATTGCTTTGGAGAACCTCAATTTTAGCCTGCCCATAAAAGCTTCCATTCAGTATCAGCACACCCATGACCCTGAGTTTGCAGAACACTTGGATTTGTGTAACTATAAACCCACCCAGAGGCAGGAGCAACCATTACACATATTTAACAAGGTTACAATAAAAAAAAAATAACATTTCAATACTTTTCTCAACTGATTTCCAGTCCGTGAGGTGGGAGCTTGCTGCACTGGAGCTTTGCAGGTAATGAACACGTCTGTGTTACTCAGCATGTGCTATCCTGAGAAAACCAATATTATCCTAACTTTGAATCCACTGCTTTTGTGTTTGCTTACAGTGGTGCACTTCAGCAATATTCCTTGTGCAGAAACACATCAGCAAAACTGAAAAGTGCACCGACAAATCATACATTGTACTAGAGCTAATTATTTTACCAAAGTATATAGGTGTTTGTTGTAAAATATTTGCATTAATAATCAGCAGCCACTAATTTTGGTACTCTGCTGGGGGGCTCTGCCCAGCACTGAGATGACATAGTCCCAAAAATAGACATAAGGAACATGCATTCCACACAGAAGAAACTCTGTCCACATAAAACACCTGAAACTGAAAATACTGTTTGATAACAAACAGTCATTTTAAATAAGTCAATAAAGAGATTCACAGAATATTTTACCTGAAAACATGCTTTAACTCTGCCAGCTCCTTTTCCTTGATTTGCAGGTCGTCCTCCAGCCGCTCCGTGACTGTGGCATAGGATTCACTGACTTTCTTCTTCCATTCATCTACAACAAAAACTCCAAACTGATAAAACACTTCAAAGCACAGAAATAATAATGTCGCCAAGGCAACCAAACCACTTGATTTTTAAACACCCAATTGTACAATTTCATATATATTTCTATTAAAGTTTAAAATATTACAGCTATTAAACTGTTCCTGCTGCAGCCAATACAGAAACATATACAAGGATTTCAGAGACAGTGCATATGTATTTTAATATTAAATAATATTCAAGAGAAAACTTAAAGTTCAGGTTACATTTGCTAGTTCTTTTTTCCTCAGCAGACACACAGCAGAAAAAGGTTAGAGACTTAAAGGTTTTTCTCATTAAGTATGAGTTAAATCAACATAGTATACAAGTTATTATGATCTTATATAATTGCCCAAATAAACTTGGTTTGGTAGCTTTTTTGTCTTCTTTCACAGCCTGTATCTGGGTTAAGTCACGAACAATACCTGAGCCTTGAACTCAAGAGTAAACCAGGAATGAGTTATCTCCTGAAATACCATTTGCTCCTTGCTGATGGATGGATGGCACACTGCCTGTAAAAAAGTGACATTAGTTACCCGTGCAAGTCTGGGTTGGTCTAGATTTATAATTTCCCATTTGTCCAATTTATCTTCTTTGTTTCAGCAAAGTTCTTGCAGTAATATGATTCCCTGTTCTGGGGCAGTGACAGTCCTGCTGAAAAATACTTGTGATAGTCTCTGGCTAAAAATAAACATTGTGCCAAGAGGAATGTCATGCAACAATAGCACGGAGCGAAACAGCCTGTGCTGTCCGCTGGGCTAACGCCATACAAACACCCACCCAGCTTGCTTAAAAATCTCCATTCCCACACAAACACTTGCCTCCATCTGTTGAACACTTTACAACTAGTGGGAAGTGGTAATTTGGCAGCTTGCTAGTGATTTTGTAGAGAAAAGGGAATTTGAGCACCTGAATCCCAGGTGTTCTGCGAGGATCCCCAAGGAGTGCAGGGGGTCCCGGGCTCAGAGGCCAGGGATGAGTGCCCCCCACAGCCCCCTGGCACTGGGGGTGGCACTGCGACCATCTGGCTATGGCACTTAGGAAGGGCAATATATGATTCAAAGTGAAATGCAAACACACACATAAATATTTATATTTATATATTTATGTATTTAAAGTGTGGTGATTGACCTTGGCAGCTGTTCTGTGTGTGAGTTCTCATCTCAGCAAAGGATTTCAGGCAAGCAGACAAGTTAATAGAACACACATCTCAAACAGCTGGGAGAACTGAGGTTTTACATGTCCTTCACAGGGAGGGTTTACAGGAGCAAAACAGGAGTCTTGATTTCAAATTAATCAGAACATATTCACAATTAACACAGATCACATCTATCATGTACTTGAAGAAGCTGTAAGCTGCTCCCATAAACCTCATTGCCGTTCTGGTGACATTCAGATATGTCCCAGGAAATGAAAAGGGTGCTAAAAGAAAATACGTGTTCTCCAGAAGAAAGTGGAGGGAGCCTGGCCCTTGTAAGGGAGCAGGGGATTGCAGTGGCTCCCCCGTGGCAGCAGATGAACAGTGTACAGCAGCACTGCGGTTATTTTTGCTCTCACATTAGAGAGGCCTTTGCATGGGGGCTCAAGCGCAGAGAGCAAAAAACAAAAGCTCTGACATCAGAGGTTTGGGAACGAGAAGAGGCTGAAGTTCAGAGCTCGAGCAAAAACACCCTGACAAGGCACGAACAGTGCTCTGCAGATCCCACTGATCCTCGGAGCTTACTTCCTCTCGTCAGCTCCCCAAATCCTTCTGGCACAGAATCCTCTCAGCTGCTCACTTTTATTTCAGCTGCCTTCCCTTGTGCTCTTTGTTAAGTGCCCAGTTTCTCAGATTTCAGTTTCCTGCACCAAAGGTCACTGAAATACCCCCTCTCAGGTTTCAGAATAACACAGACAGCAGGGCTAAACCTCTGCTGATCATGGTGCCTGCTCAAGGCATTCAGGGAAATCATTGCAATCATGTTCATTATGAGCCCTATTATTGCACTACACAGCAAAACTAATTAAATAAAGCAAGCTGACATGAAAAAAAAAATCATTAAAAGCTCATCTTGACTTTGAGATTGTACCAGCCCGAATTGCATTCCAGGATAGATGGAGCCAGACAATGATCTAGAGATAAATGAACATTGCACCCATCTGGGACACTGTGAGGACCAGCCAAAATCAAACTGTAGGTTTCCGTAGATGACTCCCATCCACAGAGGTCCTGCACTCTCATGACTGTATCCTTCATCACTCAGACTGCAGGAAAATCACGGGCCAGGATGCTGTGATGGTCATGTTTTAAGAGCCTGGTACTGGAAACCGGCAACGCGCAAATTACTGACCTTGCTGAAGTTCTACTGGGTGGCCTTGCACAAGTTTCTGTTTCCTTGGGACACACTTATCCCAGCTGGCTGCATGAGAAAATGGTTGTCATCTACACTAACAGCAGACTGGGGAATACAGAGATTACCTGGAGCTGTAAATGCAATATGGATAAAATGCATACATGGATTGAATACCTCAGCCTTGGATTATTATTGTCAGGAAGGGTCTGATCTGCAGGCTTTCTGATTTTAATAAGATGTACTCACACTGTAGCATGACCCTTGCTGTAAGGACTGCCATTTGTTATAGCTAAAAATGTACACACTTCATAAATAGCTGCAATACAGAGAACTGTAGGATCAAAGAAGCATGTGGACAGAAAAAGCCCTCCCAGACCATCAAGTCCAACCATTCCCCTGGCACTGCCATGGCCAACACTGACCTCCTTCTCCAAGTGTCACATCCACGTGGCTTTTGAATACCTCCATATGGGAAAATAATTAATATAACTCTCTAAAAATACTAAAATATATATTGTAATGTTCTTCATAACATTTTACATTAAACTTGATTGCAGTTAAAAAATGAAGAATGGTACACCACCAGATATTCCCATACCTGCAGAGTAAATCCATTAAACCTGCTGATGTTATCCAGGGCTAATACTGATCAAAATCTGCCTTCTCAACTTGAAACAAAAATGTTCAGAGTAAGAGGAAAGCAGTGGGTGACACACAGAATTAAAGCAGTGCAATGTTTCTTACCTGGTAAATCCATGCTTATTCTGTTACAACAGATTTTTTTTTTTTCATTAAAACCTTTGCCTCAAGATCTGACCTGGGGGCTAGCTGTGCTAGTCCATGGCTACCACCAGGATGACACTCTTTTTGTCTTGGAATTCACACTGCTCCCTAAACCACAGCAGCTGCTGCTGGCCCAACCTACCGCAACCTTCCACAAGCTGTTCTGTCACTGCTTTTCCTCATTCTCTTTTCCCAATACTTATGTGCCAGAAATAAACTCACTTCCTATTTTTATCCAGTTTGCTTTCAGTAATGAAATCAGCACCTGGTACTCAGGGAATTCAGAACAAATGCAATTGTAACAGTTAAAGTGGATAACCATGTTAAAAGGATGCATTTTGCTGTTGCCGAACACTCACCTGGCAGCACAGCAACCCTCAGGGAAGTCTGTACCAAACACATTAAGGTCTCAAACTCAAGATGCAAAGTCTGCATCAAACACGCTTCTCCTAAAATCTTTTGTGCAACAACAGATGAATAAATCACGCCAACAGGATGATATACAAATGACAACTCCATGCTCTATGGCTACTTTCACTTTGTGACTTAAAGGGTTTATCTTGGACTTGACTGTTCCCCAACCTACTGCTTCCATTGTTTAACTAATATTTCATACTGACTTTTAGACCCTCTATTTGCTCAGAAAATCTTATTCCTTTGAAGCCAACTCCAGCAATTCCCAACCTCCACATTTAACTTCTTTGTATTTCTCCTTGGAAGGTTTATTAAGGAAGAAAAAACCTAGTGCAGGTTAAAGAAGGGTGGGTAATGCTCAGGGGACATTACTCTGCTGCCTCGTAGGTGGCATAAGAAAGGTGCCATTTGGGATTTCAGTCAGCAGGGAGATAAACACTGTCATCGTGAGACATTAAATAAAACATGAAAACCCACAGAGACATTCAAGAGAAAAAGACGCATCAGCTAAATCACGCTGATACACTGCACAGCATTCTCCTAAAAATAGCAGATTTATCTGTCTGGAGCTGGATCTTGGGCATCTAAACTAGAAACAGGAGGACTTTAATACTAACTTTATTTGCAGAAGGGGGAGAAGGGGAAGTTTCTCTGAAGATATGTGCTGTGGTGCCACTCACAACAAACTTCTCTGGTTTTTCCTCCGCCCCACCAAGGACAGCAAAGAGTGCAACAGCTCAGTTTAGAGAAAGACAAGGTGCTGCTTTTTGCATGGCACATATCAGTCAATCTGGGGTAACAAAGAGCTGGCAGCTTCTCCATCACACTGCCAGCTTCCAACAACTACTAGAAAAAAAAATCATTATGTCCTGATGACTGGTGTTGACCCCAGCACTACGAGTCACAAGGGGAAGAATAATCACTCATGCCAATCTTTTTTCTTCTGATAAAAACCAGGAAAGGATAAAAAGTTGCAAAACAAAAGAGAAAAATGTATTAATGCCCAAGACATTAAATTAAAAGCACTTTTAATCATTTTACTTCTACCTAACTACTGTTTGAAACTGTATTAAATGGCAGCATAAAGAGAGAAACACAAGTTGTTGTATTATTCCACATTGCTGGAGCTAATATTCTACCCTTTAAAAGCTTTTAAAGCTGTTTTCAGCCAAATTGACAATTTTTTCTGTATTGTATTCTGAGAAAAAACTACAAGACATAACATGCAAGCCACAGAAGGTCACCATCCCGGCAGGTTCCAGCCGGGCTGAGCCCGGTGGGTGCCGTGGCCAGGATAACTCGGTGGAGGCTCAGAGCAGGTCCGATGTCCCAAGCCATTCCCAGCTGCAGGCAGCCAAGCAAGCTTAAGGATTTCAGCTCTTAGTGATTACCAGCTCTGTGATTTCAGCTCTTTTGGCTTGCTTGTGGCCGTAGCAGACGCAGGGAGAGAGAGGAGAAGGCTGTGTGAGGTTCCGCAGGATTCTTTAACAGGGTGTCCCACGAAGGGTCTCAGTGACAGCTCTTCTGCCAAACCAGGCAGAATTAGGGGTTTTATACCCTACAGGGGTTTGGGAAATTGTCCAACAGCAAGGGTCAGGGGAAAGCGACCTATAGGCTTACAGAGAGACAAGCAGGGTCCGAAAGGTGGAAGAGAGGGGCTTCTAAGGTCCGAGTCATCGTGACTTGGCATTTCCTAGCTCAGTCTTCTGACCTCCAAAGAGGCCTGGCAGGCCCTGGGCCTGCTACAGGTCACCAAATAGTGTTTTTAGACCTGAAATATTTCCCTATTTTCATCAAAAGAATACTTTATCTGGATTTGCTGCTTTATTAATGTTATGCAATTTCTTCATTTCTACTACACTGAGATCAGAGAAGAGATCTGCGTACTTTTCCCTTAGGATTCTTACAAGCTGGGAAGTAATCAATCCTCCACAAATTAAAACAGGTTTGTTCAAGTACTTTTCATTCTATAATCAGACCTCTCTTTTTGTCTTTGTAGGCAGATTTCATCATAAATTTGCTTCCTAAAGTTCAGCATGTCTTCTATGTCTTTGTAGGTGAGCATTTCTTGAACAGACAAAAGCTGAAAGCCATTCAGTTTGAAAGCTGACTTGTGCTGCACAGAATTCAGCATGTTCA